GCACCCCCGCCTTGGTGACGCTCACTTCGCAACGGGCCGTGCAGCAGAAATCGTGATATTTTAATTTCGCCATAACTTCGAAACTAAACATCCAATTTTAATCATTCAAAGACCAAATATCATCTACATTAACTGTACTTAATGATGAAATAAATTATTTTGATAAGGATTAATAGAATGAGTAAAATAAATGCGTTTAAAAGTAGTCCAAAAAAATTCAAGATTTTTGATTTAAAAAATGGTTGTTGTGCCTCACTCGACATAGATAGGTATAGTGTGCCGCGGAGTTTTTTGTTGATATTTATAAGATCTACAACTAATTAGAACATTTCATTATAGTTTAGGCAGCGTAGGCAAAATAAGTAACTTTTCTGGTTGATTTTTACACCTTGTGTCCGAAAAACCCAAATATATTACGGAACCCTATTTATTTCCAAAATAAAATTTAGTCTATGTTACTCGTGGATAATGTAGCTTTCGAATAGTGAAAGAATTTTTGAAATCGGTCCAGTAGTTTTTGAGCCTATTCATTACAACCAAACAAACAAACAAACAAACAAACAAAGTTTTCCTCTTTATAATATTATAGTATAGATGTTCTAATTGGGGTGTTTGAGGGTGTGCGTTAATTACGTTACATTGTGTATATATCTCTAGACCAATACAGTGTCGCGGAGAACCTAACGGTCGCGGAGAACCTAACGGGTAACTGGGGCTCCGACTCGACGTGCAGGAGAAGGAACGGGGTGGTTTCTAGTCAGTAAGAGTCTGACACTCCCTCCCGCCTCACCCAGGCGGGAGCAGTCATTCAATGATTTTCCCCCCTTAAAAAAAGACCAATACAGTAAAATTAAAAACCAATGTACTGTATACAAATCATTGATTTATTTAACTTAACGCAAAAATATTTTATAAAGTGTAATGATTGATTACTTGCTTAACGCACTTAGATTCGGTGAAGCACATATTTTTCGCGCCGTCGTCATAACCCCCACACACGCAGATACTACAGAACTCCCGCGGATTTTGGATTATTGTGCCTATAGGACATTTTACGTCACCTGCAAATGTTATCAAAATGGTCAGTATGTTCCCGTTTTCAACCACTCCTAAATTTTTATTATGCTAATTTAACGCCTGTCTCGTTGGCCGACTCTTGGGTTTGATTCCCGGGTCGGGTTGACCCAGCTTATAAAATCTCTTGTATTAGTTCACGTACTTGCACTGTAAGCTATCCAGTTAAAATAAGAAATCGTATACATACTTACTATAATCTGAAAAAAAATAATAAAAGCAGTTTAGTATTTAATCTATATTTTTTTATTAACCGACTTCCCAAAAACGCAAGAGGTTATCAATTCGGCTGTATGTTTTTTTTACTTTTGGCTGGTCCCATTTTCACCAGGTCAGGATCTGATGATGGGATCCCATAAAAACCGAGGGGAACTTTCCAAAATTGTAGGGGTGGGAGAGCGTTTGTTAACTTTTTGATATAGTATTTGAAACTGCTACAATTTGATGAAGTCGGTGCCACAAGCCCATAACAAAATATAACTTCGGTTAATAGTCATGGTTACGGGTTTAAAGAATATCTTTTGTTTAAAACTTGTGACACCGACTTCCTGCCTATCAGTGGGTGGGTAACCTATAAGTACGTATGACTAATAATAGTTATTTTTTGCTTTTTACTTTTTACCTTTTGTTTGTTTTAGGCTTTTAAGTTAAAGTCAAATTAGGTGCAAGCTGTTGGACTGTCTTTTTATAGAATAGGAGGTAAACGAGCAGACGGATCACCTGCTGGTCACCGATCAGCGCCGCACATGGACACCATCAAAACCAGAGGAGCTACAGGTGCGTTGCCGGCCTTTTTAAAGGAATCTCAACTAGAAGTATTTATAAATTGGAAAGTGAATTTGTTTGTTACTTCTTTATACTCTATACCCCTATACTTATTATACTCTTCGTTCTTGACGTACGAGACGTACGGAGAAGGACTTAAGTTATTATATTTTACGCGGACAAAGCTTTAGACAAGAACTATTTTTATAAAGATAACGTACCTGGACATGATTTAACGTCTATGGAGCAATATCTTTGATTCAAGATACATTTGCATTCAGCACAGTACGGTGAGAACCCCATATGAAACTCGTCGTTTTCTTCACAGATCGCGTCTAAATAAAAAGATTACAAAAAATATGATTATGTATTTTATTTTTATTTTTTTTTCGAATCATATGTGCAATTTAGTTTTTTATGGGATAGCGGCATTCCATTCCATTACCAAAGGGCAGAGGCGTTGGCCTGTGCCCTTTGACAACGGCTTCCGTCGACACGTGGTTATGAAGATTAACTATGGGATGTGATAGTACAGAAGTCAGTCTACTTTTTTACCTTCACATAATATTAATAATAATACTCAGTCGAGTTGAGAGATCATACCTATCTAGTGTTTGATTATATCTCATCAAACTGAACTCCACAATATAACTTGCAAAAAGTAGGTATCATCAAAATAAGAGCGGATATGTTTTCACACGGGGGCAAAATTTCCACACTTGCAAGGCGTATTGGAAATTGTAGCTCGGTCTTTATTTAATGTGCAGTCTCTTTAGTTAAGGACTCTCTCTCTCTTTAGCTAAGGACTCATGGTGCGATCTTCTCCCACGCCCGCCGCGGTGGCGGAATGGAGGCGGAATTTTCAAAACTCACGAGTACCGCAGTTTTCTGCGATCCCGCAGCCGCCGCGGTTGCGATTATCGCCCGTAAACTTGGCGGTTGATTATCGCAAGACGGACGGGCGATTAAACTATAAGTCGAGTTCCAGACCGGCCCCCCATTGCGATCGCCCGTCAACCGTTCGCAGAGCGCGCGTGTGTTAACCACCGGGGCTGCGGGACCGCGACCGCTCGCGCCCGCCGTTGCAGAGGGAGCCGCAATTAATGGCAACATCCGCAGGCGTGTGAAAATTGCTTTGATTTTTTAGCATAGGCTCTTGTTTGTTGAAAGTTGCGGGTATAATGTGTTTTATACCGGGACCCGGTGTTTCAACAGATAAAAGGATAGATATGTATCTATCCTTTTATCTGTATATCTGTATTCTGCAAAGGCTGGGGGCGGGCCCGCAAACGCGCCGGACCCCTTAGAAAAGTCCTTAGCCTTAGTTGGATCTAACGACACCCCACAGGGAAAGAGTAGAGATAAATACTCTGCCGTTACTACATGGCACGGTTTATAAGTATAGCAAGTTGTGTAACAACCTGGTCAATTCCTTACTTTTACACGTAGTCATATCTGTATCTGCTTTACCGCACGACCAAACCGCCTTTGAAGTACAAGTGCAATAGACGCACCTGCCTGGACGCGCCACATCACCAGGCACGCATGGTTTCTTTTGGTCCACTCCTGTTTGCAATCAGAATGGTTAACAGAAATTAAGCAGTTCTTGGTATAGAACATCTTTTCAGACATTTATAAGGTTTTTAGGTGTTTCATCATATCAGAATAAATTTATCATATTTTTAAATCATACCTTAAGCCTGCATATTTAGTTATGTTATTTAATTTTATTTAACGTAATTCATTTAATATTGGATTTAGGTACTTGGCAAGTAAGGTTTTCTGGCCACTAAATAAAAAGTGTGACATTGACAAGAAGAAACTTACTGACGATGGGTTTGTGGTCGTCTGCAAAAAATAACATAGGTTGTTCATGTAACTATTAGTTTTTTCATAACTACTGCTAATTATCGTAAAAAAAACCAAACATTCCATAATGCACATAACACCTTCTGTACCCTACACTGCATTGGTGCAGAAAGACATTGGAGACCAATCGGGTGAAGACGACCCGAAATGGTCCATTTATTTTTCTCTTAGATCGTCTTATTTCTTCGGGCTTAGTTCCATGGGTGACCTTAAATTAGTGAAGCAGTTGCAATGAAGGTTTTTTTTGGAACAATCCAGACAATCTAGACCAGAATCTAGAGTAGATACAACCATGAAACCATCGGATTAATAAAGCCCGGCTCGACCCAGGGACATGAATAACTGTCTCAGATTCCGCAACTAAATACATCAGATGTTAATATAATACTTTGAAAAATATAATACTTTCTATATCACCAAACGGTCACCGGTGACCGCAACCTATTGTGCTTTAATTGTGTCTATAATGACGGTGCTCGACAAGTTAATGCATTGCGTTTTATCAATAAGGAAGTTACTAACCTCTATGATACTTGCATAAACCCAATAAGCATAAAGCGAGTCCGTTGTGTAGGCAGAAACAGTTCCTACAGAACCTATTACCGTTTGGACTGAAGAACGTAAAAGGTTTGCAGAATGTACTATCCTTCCCGGGTTTATTAAAATTGTTCTGCGTTCCTAATAATCCTGAAAACCAGAATAAAATATAGATAACAAACAAAATGAAGATCATACAATATATAAAGTGTTTAAATATTGTAAAATCTTCATTTTGTTTATATTCTCTGGCGATTATTGTATCTTTGAAATCGATGTAAAAATAGCTCTGCCACAATAGAGTGGGATTATGTTCCCGTCTGCATAGTATCACACACTCGAAGTTAAGATCTGAGAAACAGTTAAAGGATAACAATTTTGTTTCGGTATACATAGCACTTAAAACCGAATACGGAAAGGCTACACAATTTTAAGTAGTACTTAAATATCGTGCCATCTCTGTCATTTTACAAAGAAAATGTAGTGACAGAACTATACTTAAATGTGACTTAAATTTGAGTAGCGTCTCAGTAATCGGGCATTAGACCAGTTTATTGCTATACTTAAGTTCCTGATAAATGAGAAGTGTTGTTGTACCTTTAAAAAATTTTTTAAATTCCTCGCTCTCATCGTCACTGTCATATCTAAGATTTGGATTTTCACTACATCGTACTGGTTTACAAACTGGTCCGCCGTGCAAACACACGCAAACGAGGCAAGATGAATCGGTCGGAATCTGGTCCCCCTCATTGCAAACATGTCGTTTCAATGGCTCGTATCGGGTGGGTCGTGATCGGAAACCTGCTGTAAATAAATATATATACATTTGCACAGCCCGTATGTGATTTGGGACAGCAGGAATGATAGAATTTGCAACTATTTGCATAACTCCAAACAGTTTACCGAGCATTACAAAGTAAACAGATACATAAAGAAGCTGAATTCAGAATTGAGGGTGGGAGAGTCATGCTTCGGCACCAATGGGCCAGCTCGACTGGAGTGTGACACCTCACAGAAAATCAACGTGGAGCAACACTAGCGTAGTGTTTCATTGTGTGGGTGAGGTTACCGGAGGCCCAATTACCCTCCTTCCCAATCCCCCAACCCTGAATCCGCAGCAATCAACAACACTTTAACGTAATATGTACGTAATTTTAAACTTACTTTTAGCTTTGATAAATGTGGAAACTTTGGTGTCACATTTTCGGCGTGTACATAACAATTCGTTTCCATCGCATATACATACATTAGGACAATCGGGATCATCATCTTCGGGTCGGTAAAGTTTATTTTGGCTGCAGTCAGACCCTGGCGCCGACTGTGTCATTTGTGATTGACTATAAGCTGACTGTAGTAATGAATGGACCATTTCCAATTCTGTTACACCACCTGGAAAATAAAAGGTGTATAGTATCAATTTGACACTGCCCCCTGCAGTATATTATATTTGATTTAACTCGTCGACGGTCACAAGTGACCGCTTGGTGTTTGACAGTTTAAAAAGTGTCAGGGAAAGTATAATGTAAGGTAGCCATATAAATGAGGTTACGGTGAAGGAAAACATCGTAAGGACTTGTAATTTTGCCTCCGGGCGGGAGAAGGCATTGGTTGATTTTCCCTGCTCAAAATAAAGGACTTATAATTACCAATTATTTATACGTTTGAAATCGCCAATTTAAAGCGGACCCGCGCGAAACAATATATTTTCTATCGTGTTTCATATTATTATTGTTCAAGTGGTTAATGCTTATTCCTTTTCAGTGTGAGAGGCAGGTTCTGTTTAGCAGTAGGCATTAATAGATTAATGATTGTAGCTAATGAGGAAATGGATAATTTATGATGATTTCTTCGACCTTGACCAAATACTTACTTCTAAATATGTCATAACAACGTTTTTTAGTGCATATAATTTTTTTATTCATACAGATACAGAGGTTGCATCCATCATTCATTGAATGTACTTCTCCGTTAACACAATATTTTTGATTTACTATTGAGAGGTCTGTGGGCAAGGAAAACCATTTTAGTAGCTGTTACCATAGATAAATTAAATAATTCTATTTTCTGTGGCTGTTACTGCTGTATGTCCAGAGGACTTAGTACCAGTTTGATTTTCGATTCGATCAGCGTTCTGATGAGCCTGCCTCAATGAACCAACCAATCAGAATGCCAAACATGGTCTATTTTCGATCTCGTGAAACGTAAAACAAATTCACAGTAAACCGATTCTGATCCAAATTGTATTTAGGTACATAAAAAAATGATTTTAATCCAGTCAGTTAGGCTTTAATGTTTGGTGTATTAAAAATAAAAGAAATAAAACTGTGTCCATTACAAAACTCTTGGCTTCCTTCATATGTATATAGAATTACAGCTTATTAGCGGTGTGTAAAACTTAAGAAAATGTAAAAACGCAGATAAGATTTAGTTTTTGAAAATATCTATTCTAAATTGGCACTAGGTTCTTCCAGCATGTGCATGCAGTTCTGTTGATATGTTAAACTTTAAGCGAATTTAACTAGGTAAATTCCAACATATTTTTTCTGAAAGACACAGACTGCGCGCACTTCTTTCATAGGTAAGTAAGTACCTCGTAAACTAACTGGACAGGTTAAATCTCTGATACATAGCGGCTATTTAGACATAGTGAACATAGCATACAACTGTCTCCCATGAAGGTAGTCAGAGACTGTGGAGCGACAATTGCTACGGTTCCTTAATACCTCTTTCGCTTCATCAACAGTCATCAATCTTTTCTTGGATGCTCGTCGGTTAAGGGTACTTTTACTTTGGCCCTTCTTTAATATATCGCCAATCTTGTCAGTGTGTGTTCAGCATCCATCCTTTCTACATGTTCAAACCAGCGTAACATCCCCTTTTTAATCCTTGTCCCTACATCATCTTTCAGTCGACATTGTTCTCTAATAACACTATTTCACTCCACATAGTAGAACAGCACCTGTAGCCAAATGCCATTTAGCGCTTGTCTACTTGTACAGTAGAAAACCAAATTATATGGAATTGACGTAAATTTATACACCTATCAGTGTCATCCCTATACATTTAGTTTTCTACTCTCTCTGTAGACAAGCGCTAAAGTGGCGTTTGGCTATAGGCACAGGTCCTCAATCTACCTATTTCATTAGGGTAGATGACTAATTTTTATTTTAATGTTTGTCTGGTAGATTATTTTAAAATATTAAACACGTGTTTTTTATTTTTTTACAGAAACGAATACCTACTTTTAACGATAAATAAATTTGAAATGTCGCGTGATGTCACTTCTATGTATGTACATTTTATACGTTATAGAAATGACGTTTTAACTCCCACTCCTAAATATTGATTCGTTATATCTCAGTATCATTTTATTATACAAAAAATAAAAAAATACGTGACTAATATTTTTTCATTACCATCATTTCATTCATACCCTGTCATTATGACTCCGCCCCCTGCGGTGCCCGACGCGGGCTACAGCGACGACGACGACGACATCGTCCCAGAGGTGACCGAGGCAGAACTGAGAGCGGCGGTGCGCCGGATGGGCGCCAAGAACACCGCCCCAGGACCCGACGGCTTGCATGGCAAAGCATGGGTCCTGGCCTCAGAGGCTCTCGGGCCTCGATTAATCGGTCTCTACAGCGCATGCTTGGAGAGAGGCCAGTTCCCGCTTCTCTGGAAAGCGGGCAAACTGGTCCTCGTGCGGAAGACGGGGCGCCCTGCGGACTCTCCGTCCGCATACCGGCCCATAGTGCTGCTCGACGAGGTGGGGAAAGTCTTCGAAAGAATCATTTCGAACCGCCTCGTCGCGCACCTGACGGACATTGGGCCGGACCTGTCGGACGGCCAGTTCGGCTTCCGCAGAGGGCGCTCCACGGTGGACGCCATCATGCGCGTTAGAGACCTCACGACGGGGACTGCAGTGTCCAGGGGTAAGGTCGTAGTGGCGGTGTCTCTGGACATCGCCAACGCCTTCAACTCCCTGCCCTGGAGCTGCATCTTGGAGGCACTCCGATATCATCGGGTGCCTACCTACCTCCGTCGTGTAATCGAGGCTTACCTGACGGACAGGTCCGTCAGCTACCCCGGTCACCGGGGCGAGTGGAACCGGCGAGAGATGTCACGCGGTGTTCCACAGGGTTCGGTTCTGGGGCCGCTCCTGTGGAACATCGGCTATGACTGGGTGCTGCGCACCGACCTCCCGAACGGCGTTAGCACAATATGCTACGCCGACGATACGCTGGTGCTAGCGCACGGGAGGTCACACCAGGCGGCGGCCGACTTAATGGCGACAGCGGTTGCGACAGTCGTTGAGAGAATCCGGCAGTTGGGACTCGAGGTGGCGCTCCACAAGTCCGAGGCCATGTGTTTTCATGGCCGCGGGAACGCGCCACCTCCGGGTGGGTCCCAAATAACGGCGGGAGGAGTTACCATCGGCGTCGAGACGACGATGAAGTACCTAGGACTCGTCCTCGACAGTCGGTGGAACTTCATTGAACACTTCCGACGTTTGGCTCCAAAGTTGGAGAGGACGGGGGCTGCGTTTAAACGCATCCTCCCCAACCTCGGGGGGCCAAACGCCTCCTGCCGGAGGTTATACGCCGGGGTCGTGCGGTCCATGGCCCTCTACGGCGCCCCTGTTTGGGCGCCTAACCTGTTGCGGCGTCCCGCTCGGACGCTGCTCATGGCACAGAGGGTCATGGCGATCCGAATGATCCGCGGATACCGCACGATCTCTGGGGAGTCGGCGAACCTCCTTGCCGGATTACCGCCGTGGGATCTGGAGGCGAAGGTGCTCGCGCGCGTGCACAGCATGCGCGCGGAGGCACGTCGCCGGGGCGAAACTCCGCTGCCGCGCCAGATAAGTGCGTGGCGGGATGAGCTCCGGCGCGATCTCATGGCGGAATGGCAGCAACGACTGTCGCAACCGAGGGCTGGGCTCGCTGCCATCGCAGCGGTAAGTCCCCTCTTTGAGGAGTGGCTTGAGAGACGCTACGGCGTCCTCACCTACCGCCTGACGCAGGTCCTCACCGGACATGGAAGTTTCGGGAGGTACCTGTGTCTGATGGGGCGGGAGGAAACGCCCGGGTGTCATCACTGCGAGGACCGCCCTGAGGACACGGTGGAACACACGGTGGGAGAATGCCCTTCGTGGGCTGAGCACCGCCGTGTCCTCAGGGAAGTGATCGGCGATGGCGACCTCTCGCGTCCGGGCCTAGTGCAGGCCATGATGCGGAGCGAGGGGGATTGGGATGCCGTCTCCTCCTTTTGCGAAGCAGTCATGCTAGCTAAGGAGGAGGCGGGACGCGTGAGGCAGCGAAGCGCTGCCTCCTCGCAACCCAGCCATCGCGAAGGACACACCGGGCGTCGGGGATCGCGGGACGATCTCCGGCCACCGTAAGCGCGGGCCTGCGGACGGCGAGCATGGGTGGCTCCCCGTCCGACCAGAAACAGACCCGAGCGTACGGCGCGTCGCGTTCCGCGCGCGCCTCAAAGAGCCATCAGACCACCACAGATGGGGCCCAATAGGGCCGATGCCGATTCGGAGTCGCGGAGAACCTAACGGGTAACCGGGGCTCCGGCTCGACGTGCAGGAGAAGGAACAGGGTGGTTTTTAGTCAGTAAGAGTCTGACACTCCCTCCCGCCTCACCCAGGCGGGGGCAGTCATTCGATGATTTTCCCCCCTTAAAAAAAAAAAAAAAAAAAACCCTGTCATTATCCCTATGGCCTAACAGAAGGCCTGTACCTTCTGTTGAATTGATTGAAGAATTTAGATATATTTTTTTAGAATTGACAACTGGCTTATGGCGTAAATACCTGATGTTCTTGTGTGATGTATGCAGGGTATATTTGTACAAAGTATATCGGAGTCTACACAGATGCATGTGTTGCAGGGATCAGGACTGGGTATGGGTGTGTCTTCGTCGCATTCTGGCTCCAAAAATATGTAGGGAGCTGCATGAAAATAATTAAAATACGTTTTTACAGTATGTAATGCTGTACGTGTACCCGCGCTAGCGTGACGAGACTTGTGTAGGCGATGAGCGGAAAAACAATCATGCAGTTGGAACGACTGCTAGTCGCGTCCACGTCGTCTCCTCCGTTTTTTCCGCTCATCGCAGACGTAAGATGCGCCGCGCTATCGTGGGTACGGCTTTAAGTACTATTAATACAAGGAATATGATAAAGGAGGATAGTAATGGACAGTGTCATTTGCTCAGCAGCTTCGAAGGGTCTAGGTTTGTTTGTCGTGTTTGTTACAATTAGAACAAAGCATGTATGAAAGGAATATTACATAGTAACGCTACTATGAGCTCAAAGTAAAAGTGTTTGTCGATACTCGATAGCGATGACGTAAATTCGTGTGACATCTTGTACAGCAGCGCCTCTAACGCTCAGTTATGGAACTAAAATTACTATACAAAAATTTACGTTGTCGCTATCGAGTATCGAATTATAGTATTACTTTAAAATTTACATTCATGGTAGAGGTACAGGTACGTTCACCTGGAATCTGCAAGAAATGTATCACTACTAAAGTTGGGATGGGTTTAAGATACCCACCAGTATAATATACAAGTCTATCTATATACGTACTCTGTATATTATTCCAGCAAGGCTTTTGGGTACAAAATTCGATTCCATCTCTACAAATGCAATAGTTGCAATCGTTTACTGGTCGTTTACTGCCGTCGACACAGCGGTCTTCGTCTGAATTTATTCTTTGTGAAATATCTGAAAGGAAAATAAATAAACATGAATAATGCTTTTATATCTATACTAATATTATAAAGACGAAAGATTTGTACCTATTTTTGTATGTTTGTATGTTTGTAATGAATAAGGCTCAAAAAGTACTGGGCCTATTTGAAAAAAATTTTCACCAATCGAATGCTACATTCTTCCAATTTGACATAGGCTACATTTCATTTTGAAACCAATTAGGGATCCTTGGTAAAAATTGAACTATGTAACCGAAGGTGTAGAAAAGTGAGTCTTAAAATGTCTATCGTCGAATGCGCTGCCGAAACTATTAGCGATAGAACAAAATAATGTACAACAATATTGAAGATCATCATAATGTCTACAAAAATCTCCGCGGTAGCATATGTCCAACTATTGTAGTTATGTCACTACAACAATCCAAATTTCCAAAAATAAATAATTGTCTACCCCGTGCGAAGCCGGGACGGGCTGCTAGTACTTAAATACAAACAAACGGTTTGGTTCATGAGTCTAAATGACGTATGACCTACCCTACGCAACTATCGAGGAAAGGATCTCTGTATTAATTAAAAATGCGGGTTTTCTCAAGTGAAGTTTTACTCACTTAAATATACTGAGAAATCTATATTACTTTCGAGTCACGATAGCGGTTTGCAGCGCAAGTATAAACACTGATGTGAGCGCCAAGTCTAGTCAGTAGGCTGCGTGACCGTGCACGCTGCCCATGAGGAAGAACCCCTCTGTACATATTTGTAATATATTAGGTATATATTTGTGTGAACCATTTTATTTATTTTTTTTTTTGTATCTAACACACTACATACAGTTTGTTTTTATTTTCTACATTATTTGTCTAGAGGTATTTACCTACCATCCGTGAGTCACTGCAGGGTGCCACCAGAAGACCAGCGTTGAGTGTTACCACGCTCAACATAATGCTGAGGTGGAGGCCCGTTCGACACGGGCATGCATGCAATTTTTTGTTAATTTTGCGATGCTTATTTTTTGTTTTAAATTTGTTTTTATTTATATATTTTTTTTTATTTCTCATTTTTGTCTAGGTCTGTGCATGCAATGTGTCGAATAAATGTTTTTCTTTCTTTCTTTCTCTGTGGTTCGTATATTCACGTGAGCACCCGTGATTTTTAGTTAATTTAGTTTGCCTCACGATAGTTATTATAAATTCACAGAGGGTCCCTTTCTCATGAGCAGCGTGTGCGGTCGCGGTGATGTACTAGTAGAGCTAGTAGAGTTTTTCTCAGCATATTCTTGTGAGTACATCATTATTTTTAGTTTATATACACCATGCATAACGTGACTGCCTCGTTGGCCGAGTGGTCGCAAGTGCGACTGCCGGGCAAGGGGTCTTGGGTTTGATTTCCGGGTCGGGCAAAGTATTATTGGGTTTTAAAAAAATCTCAGTTTCCAGTGCTCCGTGCACTGGAATTGTGCCCGTTATATGGCAATAGGCTCACCCCCTATTACATGGGACTCGTAACATAAATAGTGAAAAGTTGGTGTTACAATGTATTTTTCTATCATAAGAAGGTTCTTATGATAGAAAAAAAAACCTGAAAATCTGAAAGGAGAAGGTTCTCCTGACAATAACAAACACAACCAAAAAAATCAGGCAAATCAGTCCAGCCATTCTCAAGTTATGGCGTGGCAACGGGAAACGGGTTTCATTTTTATATACATAGATAGATATAGATTTCATATCATCAACCGATTGGTTGAGGATATCTGGTTCAATATTTAGTTGCAAGATTCCACTTCGCACACATACACTGATATGTACATACATACAGTCATATATATTACAAGTTAAACAAAAGCATGTAAAATTACCAAGTGGTTCGCATTCATCTTTATTTTCTGGGACGCAAACGTATGTTTTGTTTTCAGTACAGGTGCAGATTATGCAACTGTCAACCAGAACATGTCCCACTTCACAGTCCATGTCAAATGGTGACCGCAAATAGGCAGGAGCTAAAAACAAGTAATATAGCAATAAGTAATAATAGAAATAGTCGTTAAAGTTAGAACTAGCTGTTCCGCTCCTAGCACATTGGATCTCCAAAGATTTTGGAGATGCCTTGCTTTTGGTTATTTGGTAGCTGGTGTCAGTTTTAGGACAAGCCCAACATTTTTAAACTGGAACCTCTAAGGTAAAAGGAAACGTGGGAGTCTATGTCAGACTTAACGTCGTACCATATCGGCAGAAGTTGGGGGCATGGGTATGACGTGGGAATGTGAAGTTATAGACCAGTCGCGATGGTAAAACTTCTGTGGACGTCCCCTGCCTCATCTAGGAGACATTCTGCCTCTGCCTCATATAGGGACTTTGAGTTAAGTAAATCATATGGCTATGATTAATATAAAAGACTTACGTGGAATACTGCCTTCACATTTGTGCTTTGAACATATTAGTTTACGATGTTCGTTGCAGTAGCAATAGTTGCATGTATCCAGTCTAAATCTGTATCCAATCTTGCATTGTTCTTCTTTGTACTGCTTGGCTGAAAATTTTAAACAATTTTGGCTCCAATTCTGTTTTATTTACCTACATGAATCCCTGTTATATGCCTGTCCCCTAAATCCCATTGGATATGAAGAAAATATATTAGTTTTCGTTTCTTTAGCTACTTTCTTCAGTTTCTTATAACTGCTCGGATACTGTCGGTGTTTCGATATCGTGATTTTTAACATTTGAATAAATGAATCATATTTGTGTTATGTATTGAACTACAGTTAATTATTTATGTAATCACAGCAATCACTCGAAAAAATACAAGATTATTTTGAAGGACATCATTTTAAAAATATTGCAATTATTATGCAGTGGTCTATGGTGAAGGCTTCGTGTTAAGTACAGTACGATACGACACAGTAAAAATCCACTTCTACCTTGATAAAAATTACCTACTCTACTTAGAGGTATAAAAAAAACATACGTGAATACTTTGTCTTATTAACATCGGATTCTGCAAAAAGATATATTTAATGAATTAAAAAAATGTTGATATCAGTCTTTTAAAAATTGTTTGCACGACTTGACCGTGTTTTTTTTATTTCTAAATTCGATAGTTTCGGTAGCCAGTTACATAACCACTGCAACAACGTGTTTAAAAACTTTAAGAATTTTTTTGTAGGCTCTTCAAAGTTTGTAGGCTATTTTATAAAACTTTTGTAGGCTATTTGTGATTAGATTAACGACTTCTTCAAGAAGTTCAAGGACATTTTTGTAGGCTATTCAATAAGAATTTTGTAGGCTATTTAATAAGACTTCAAACTTACTGTAATTGCAGTTGTGTCGGGAACATATTCGGACACCGTGTTCATTGCAGTAGCAATAATTACAGGCGCCTAATCTGAACCTCTCACCGACTTTACATTTCTTATTCTCTCCACCAAGGATTTCCTGTTCGGTCATTCGTAACATATCTGTAAAATATTCAAAACCTATTATGTCCAAACTGTATTCCATTGGACTAATCGCAACTGTGTTTAATCAGTCAACGCAATGATGTACGTCATCATCATCAGCCCGTGTTCGTCCACTGCTGGATACAGGCCTATCCAATGGCACGCCACTGAGCTAGATCTACAGTTCTTCTCACCCAACCTCTACCAGTCTCCTTGCGGATATCGTGTAGCCACGATGTAAATATACGCTACTTATACCTAAATATTTCAGGGTTATTTTAAAGCCAGTCACAACCTTCTACGATTGTATTATTGATATCATAAAACAACATACGAAACTGCTTCGAGCTCCAAATTTTAGAATACATTACACTGCCAATGAGAGATGGAAAAAACACCCGATTGAGACCCTCCTTCTTTATAGGAAATAGGTTAAAAAATAAAGATATCCGAAGAGCTGGTAGTTGTTCCTATCTTTCTTTCAAAAAGTTTTTTTGTTATTAATTGAATTTATATTAATTGATTAATTTCAATTAAAAAAGATAATGTTTATCAAAATCATGAAAAATTATGATATGTTTCAATGACAATAGTATTTATTGTTTAACTAGCTTCTGCCCGCGATTTCGTACGCGCAATCCCGTTTTCTCCTGTTCCCATAGGGTTTTCAGGATATTTTCTGTCATAAGAACATTCTCCTGACAATAACAAACACAACAAAAAAGGCATAATCGTTGTTCCGGACTTGTACATTGTAGGTACATTTGCCTACCTCTACAATGCAGAGAACAAAATTATTGATTTCTAGATAAATCAAAGTCAAAAGGAGATACAAAAGAGACGAGGTAGAATGAAATATTTTATAACATTAAATTATTTAATGTGTACAATTTTCACAGCTGAAACGAATCATGATACTATAATGTACGATTCACCAACTGTGCTACGAAACAGCTACGCGCGCTACGATAGTGCTACGCTTATTACGCTAGCTACGTTTTTTAGATTCGTTGGTAAAAGATAAATATATTGATCACAATATTTATAGTTTTATTTTTATCACGCATAAACTTGCTTCAGACTGCATCTAGGCAAACGTATTGTGGTATATTGTCCAGCTATGATATCCACAAAGTGACTGGCAGTGGTTGAACGCGAATCGGGTTGGAGATCGACCTCAATGGCGTGCTTAGACATGCAAAGGTATTATCCAATAGCATACCCTATGCCAAAAAGCAATGCATCAAGCCACGAGCAAAAGTTAGCTTATTACTTTAAACTTACCGTGTTTATGGCCTCTGTGGTGTTTATGACGAAGACGATTACCTGTAAAAATTACGGTTCTATAAATAACAATAGTACTATTATTTACTACTTTTTTTTTCAAATTGAGATATTTTTATTGCTGAACTTATTACATAGCAATTCACCATGTTCCGCCAATTAAGGCATGCAATAATTATTCCTTAGTTATAATTGACGAGATCCAGATTAAACAAATTTTATTAATTATCAATTCAGTATAAGTATTATTTAGTTATTTACTACATACATATATAACCTCACGCACTGTCTCCCATGGGGATAGGCACAGACCTCTTTCGCTTCCTCATTAGTCTTCAGTCTTTTCATACTTACTCTTCGGTTAAAGGTACTTTTAATTTGGCCCTTCTTTAATATATCGTCAATCTAATCGATATATGTCTGTCTAGGACGTCTTCTTTCTAGTCTAAGATCCCGTTATAGAACGACCTTCACCGAGATGCTTATTTAATGAAACGTATTTTATATTTAATTTAATATGTCAATAAATATAATCCATATGGGTTGCCTAGCAAATTTCAGTCCAGAGTATGTTTAATTAATAATTAAAAAAAAATATTTTTTTAAACATTTCACCGGTATGATTATTAGATAAATTCTATACCAATCGAAAGTATGAAGCCCATAGAATACACAAACGTTAGGTTGCCTATTCTTTTCCGGTCACAACTATCGGGTTGCCAGGTATAAACAGGTAAATCTGTACTAGCATTTTGCAACGTTCTGTTTATTGGATGAAATTTAAATCAAATTAAAGATTATTTTATTCTGAACACGGTGGTATAGGGTTGCCAGCGAAAAATAAGTCCAGAATTGCGGTTGTCGAATTTTAAAAAGTTAAATATTGCTCCGAGTGAATGTGTGCGACTGAGAGGTCCCAACCAACCATCCCATGCGATAGAAGAGGACACAGCATAGCAGCTGTGTAAAGTCCGGCCATTTAAAGAAAGAGAGTGCGCATGGAAGAAAGTAATTATGAATGTCATCATGAAGAGGCAGATACAAGGATTATTTTTCATGCTTCTAAAGCGGAACCAGGCTCAAGGATTTTAATTAAAGCCTCTGATACTGACGTTTTGATAATTTTGTTAGGAAATATGCACAAACTTATCGAATCAGAAATTTGGCTTGCCTGTTCAGCAACTAGAAAGACTAATAATCAAACTGTTGATTGCATTAATTGCACGGATTTAGCGTTGAAGTTGGGAATTAAATTATGCCAAAGTCTTCCCGCCTACCACGCATTTACAGGTTGCGATTATACGGCAGCCTTTTACAACAAAGGGAAAGTAAAACCTTTTAAGCAATTTTCAAAAAATGAAAAATATCAAACAGTTTTTGCATCATTAACGGATGCTGCTGATATTTTCAATACTGAAAAAATGAAGACCGTTCAAGAATTTACGGCTATTATGTACGGTATCAGGAACTGCACCAGTGTGAATGATGCGAGACATCGTATTTTTATGAAAAATTATTCTGCAAAAGAAGACAGCGAGTACTTTTTAAAAAAAATAAAAGGCTTCGACTCCAACTCCATACCACCATGCTGGATATCATTAACTCAGAAAATTTTACGAACTATTTTCGTAAATTCCATGTGGCTTAATGCAACGGAACCAATATGCGTGAAACTTGAGCCTGAGAACTGCGGATGGTACTTAGATGAATATTTAAAACCAGTAGGATTCATTGGGGATCATACACCTTTAAAAATAGAAGACATTGTCGAAAAAGGTGAAACAGAGAGTAATGACGAAGAAGATTCAGAAGTTGAAGATCGTAGTCCGATGGAGTCCAATGACTCGGATTCCGAATAATTTAAAAAAAAATGTATTTTTAATTTTTTACAATAAATAGAAGTAATTTTTTAATTTTTGTTTTTTTTTATTGTCTCTTCTTATATTTTTCAATCAATATTTTTAATTATTAGAGTAGTATTATATATGTATCACTATAACCTTCTTTTTTACTAAAGATGTATATATACTTCAGTGTCACATAAAAAATATACACATAAATAATTAATTGATAAAAAAAATTAATAAATAACTTTTTCTCTATTTTAATAATAAACTACTCCAAAATGATGCATAGTCTATCGCTATCCTTTTCTTTTCCAAGCCCAAAGAGCATGCGCACTCTCTTTCTTTAAATGGCCGGACTTTACACAGCTGCTATGCTGTGTCCTCTTCTATCGCATGGGATGGTTGGTTGGGACCTCTCAGTCGCACACATTCACTCGGAGCAATATTTAACTTTTTAAAATTCGACAACCGCAATTCTGGACTTATTTTTCGCTGGCAACCCTATACCACCGTGTTCAGAATAAAATAATCTTTAATTTGATTTAAATTTCATCCAATAAACAGAACGTTGCAAAATGCTAGTACAGATTTACCTGTTTATACCTGGCAACCCGATAGTTGTGACCGGAAAAGAATAGGCAACCTAACGTTTGTGTATTCTATGGGCTTCATACTTTCGATTGGTATAGAATTTATCTAATAATCATACCGGTGAAATGTTTAAAAAAATATTTTTTTTTAATTATTAATTAAACATACTCTGGACTGAAATTTGCTAGGCAACCCATATGGATTATATTTATTGACATATTAAATTAAATATAAAATACGTTTCATTAAATAAGCATCTCGGTGAAGGTCGTTCTATAACGGGATCTTATACCATTCGTAAATCTGCTTTCATCCATCTTTTCTACATGTCCAAATCGTTGTACCACCCCTTTTCAATGTATGTCATTATTAACTAATAATCATTATAAACGAAGTCGGTTGATTAATTGGGTTTTTATAAATTCCGATAAAATGTAATGATTATTGATATATTTTTTTTTTACTAGGACAAGCCCGCCACAACCTTCCGAAACCACTGCAACTCCTATAAGCCAGGATCTACAGTAGATACAACTATGAAAACACCGGAACACTGAAGTTCGGCGCGTCCCAGGGATATGAATAACAGTCTTTGTTTCCCGCAACGAATGTATCAGAACATATTATAAGAGGAGAAGAAAAAAACGATAGTTTCCATTTCCCTTGGCGAATTACTTCAGGAAACAGAATGAATTAAGCCTAAAGGCACAAGAAAGAGACTGTACAACTGGTTGAAGCCCAGTCGCCAAGCACTACGGAAATTTGACCAAAAACTAAGTGGGTCCTATGTGTGAGCTATTATACTTGCTTCCAGTAATGGGAATGGCAAAAGCGCCTAAATGAAATTTGAAATTTGTTCTACCTCTATATTCCACGAAAGCTACACCTGACGAAACAATTACATTTTTTTACATGGTGTTACGTTCGTATTGTCAGAGATCACACTCCTAGAGTATGTGATGGTTATTGACATAATGTAAAAGATCAACAACAAGATAGTATGAAAGTAAACGGACCATATTTGTCGGAGTTGCGATGACCGTTGGATCAGACTTGTTTTGGAGCCTGCGTGTGCACATGACTGTGTCCACTGTCAGTTGAACGGTAGCCGGAGTGATGATATTCCCAAATATCGAGCTTAAGCTCACTTACCCTTTTTGTTATTGTGTTTATAACGATCATTTGCAGAAGGATGTTTAGTAGGATGTTTAGGACTTGAGAGCCAATCAGAATAAAATGTTTCTGTAAAATTTATAGCATTTATTAATAACAATGGTATATTTATTATTTTTCTTAATATTTATTTTTTAACTTCTCAGTAGTAACACGGAGTCTGGAAATGTGCCCACTATATGGCAATAGGCTCACCCCCTATTACATGGGACTCATAACATAAATAGTGAAAAGTGGGTGTTATATTGTACAGTGGTATAATGTGCACCTCTGCCCTTCGGGGATAAAAGGCGTGATGTTATGTTATGTTATTTTTAACATCAATCTCATAAACATATACATTGAACTAAGTGGCATAGCTATTGGAGCAGTCCATGCCAAAAAATAAAGTAAGAATCAGGTCATAAGTAAAAACAAGTTTAGGTATTTATTTTAACTTACCATTAGAGACTGGAGGTTGACCATGATCTTCAGCTTCTGTTGTAAAAAATATGGTATCTTTCAATATCAATAATTATTTGTACGTTTTGCATTTGCCTACTGTACAATGTGAGTATCGAGTTCTCGGTAGATCCCAGTCACAGGGAACGAGAGTATCAACAACAACAACTCCAGCCACTAAAACAGGAGCTCGTGAACTCCAGACAGTACGTCGTCACACGTAGGTCTGGGGTACGGGCTCTTGATCCACAGCCGAAATAAGGCATGCTCTCTCTTTTTAATCGACTTCAAAAAAAGGAGGAGGTTCTCAATTCGACCGTATATATGCTTTTTTATGTTTGTTCGCCGATATCTCCGTTGTTTATGAACCGATTTTCGATAATTATTTTTTTGTTGTTAAGGAGTTAGTCCCAGAATGGTCCTATGATAAGGAAATCAGGATCTGATAATGGAAGACCAGGGAAACCGAGGGGAACTTTTAAAAATTATAGGGGCGGCTAGTGCATTTGTTAATTTTTTCATTCAATATTAAAAACCATTACCACCTGATAAAGTTTTGGAGTCGATCTGACTTCTAACCCATCAGTCGGTGCGTAAGCTATAAGTATCTACGTATGACCAATAATAGTTATTTTTTCCTTTTCAGTTTTTACTTTTCATTTATCTTTATTTTTTGAAGTCGGTTTTTTAATTTTATTTGGTAACTAGAGTCTGCCCGCGACTTTGTACGCGCAATCCCATTTTCTTGTGTTACCGTAGTTTTTCAAAAACCTTCTCCTGACAATAAAAAAGAAGTCGACTAAAAATAGTGAAATCGGCACAGCCGTCACGGGTGTTGGTGTGACCAAGGGATATACGGATCATAATTATATTTTTATATACATAGATGTGAATGGCGTTTGGCCACTATCTCATTTGGTGATGAGCGATAATGCAGTTATCGTTAGTCGAAGCACGCTCATAGCATTATTTTATTCATTTTTACTCACTCACCGGTCATTTCTACAAATTCGGGAGGTGTGTCATCCTCTGTAATAATATTATTGTATACATTAATAACAATAAAATTTTATTATTTACTAATAAACTCTTATTAATTAATAACGATCGTGTCAAAACTTGGATTGATTTAACTTAATAGTGATATGGTACATACATGTATACTATGTATATGTACTATGGTATATACCTCTACGATGTGCTCATCTCCGGGAAAAATATTTGTATTGGATAATTAATTTATCGACGAAGGTTGCAGGTCATCAAACATAACGCTATGCTCAATAAGATCCGAGCAGCGGGAGGAACCGAGCGGAACTTAATAATAGTTAATAAGAAGATAAAGTACATATCTAACAAGCAATACTTAATAGCATATATGATTAAATAACTTTGACTGCCTCGTTGGCCGAGTGGTCGCAAGTGCGACTGCCGGGCAAGGGGTCTCGGGTTCGATTCCCGGGTCGGGCAAAGTATTACTGGGTTTTTAAAAATCTCAGTAGTAGCACGAACTACTGAGTTGTGTGTGTGACGAATGTGCCCGGTATATGGCAATAGGCTCACCCCCTATTACATGGGACTCATAAGATAAATGGTGAAAAGTGGGTGTTGCATTGTATAATGGCATAACGTGCACCTCTGCCTAATCCTTCGGGGATGAAGGGCGTGATGTTATGTTCTTTATGTTCTGTGACTAACACACTGATCTTCACTCTTAGCTACGGGAAATTAAATGACGAGTATTAATAGTTAGTTTATATGGTTTAACTTACTCACCCCAAGAAATGTATTCAATATTATCATCTGCAAAAAATATTAAATAAACATGACAATGACACATCAATAGTCGATGACAGTCCACTTCTGGTCTTACTGGACTTACCTACTCTTCTTAGAGGGGTTTCGAGTCACAGAGGGCTTAAGGGCAGGTACACAAAACTGCGTTGCATATATCGACGCCTCCTACGTACAAAGAGACAGGTCGAAAATGCTATTTTTTTTTATTTGCTTATTGGCTTTAAATTGTCCATCTGCATATACCTATAAAAGATTTTTTCCAAAAAATTAAGTAGTTTGCCCCATACATAAGTCGTATATGGGAACAAGTACACCATAATATACAATAAAGTGTCGTATATGCGAATAACCCTACGTATCGTCGTGTACGATGTTTGAAAATACGCGCCACTCGACGCGAACGCGGCCTTGTCACAGTAAGCGTCATTTAAAGTAACTCGTCTACAAAGACGTGTCGAAGCGTGATCGTGTGGTCAAATTATTGTTGTTTTGATACAGTTTTTAGATTACTGAGTGTGTTATTTAGTTATAGATATCCATATATCACCTACAATCGTACTGGAAAATATGAATAACAATAGATCAAAGCTACTAGTGGATATTGCAAACTCCAGAAATAATGTTGTATGTGTTTCTGAAGCCCAAGATTTAATTAATTATATGGATGAAGTTAATGAAGGTTAGTACTCATTCAAATAAGTGTACATTAACAGTTGATTAATGGTTGATTATGTTTATAGTTTTTTCTAACCTAAATATTACAAAATCGGCGTAGGGGCGGTCATATTATACCTACCCGATTCTAATATGATGCAGTCATTGAATTATATTGTTTCACCAATAATTATAATGGGTTACCCGCTACTTAAAAATAAATGATTTCTTCAATAATTACTGCGTTTATTTGTTATAGAAATACATAAAGTCATGTCCTACATGTCCGTTTATACGTGTAATTTAAAAAAAAATATATGGATTTGTTATCATTTACTTTTATTACTATTTATTATTATAGTATTTTCTTTTTTCGTTTTTAGAGACACGAATATGCACAGAAAAAGATATTTCGATGGATTTAGAGGATCGACCACCGGAAGTTCCTAAAAGTCCGACTTTCGGAGTTTCTAACGACGAAACACAAGCTGCCGGAACTCACAGTGATGGAGAACAGAACCAGATATCGGCTAATATACTATCGCAAAGTGATTTAAACTATATTATTGATACGGTAGGGGAAATTTCGAATGATGGGATTGAAAATTACTGTCTTAGTACATCTATATTTTGTGAAAATGAAACACCACAACCAGTAGCTGTAAACGATATTATTGAAGAACCTTTAACACCAATACCAAGTCCATGCCTGAGCTTTGGGGAGTCTGTTCATGATTGTAACGATTTAATAGAAAGTAGTGGTATTCTATCTGATACAACTTTTAGATCAAGTCCGTTAGGGTCTAGTGAAATGTCTGGTTCATCAACACCACAGCATCGAAAAAAGAAGCGTCAATTTGTAAAAAAAGCTATAAAAAAGAATAGAATTACTAACAAGTCAAACTGGTTAGATGAAAAAAGGAAGGTTCTTGTGAATTTAGGTGAAGCTCACATATCTCGATCCGGGAAACATCAAATGGCTAAACAAATAAAAGGCCCATGTCCATCTTCTTGTCGATTAAAATGTTATGAAAAATTTGACGAGGTAACTCGTCGAAATATTTTCAAAACCTTTTGGAATCTGGGTGATCATTCTCAGCAGTGGTCTTTTATTGCATCACATGTGAAAGAAATACGAAAAAAACAATGGACACAGGATTCCAAGAGGTTAAATGTTTATAAGTTTTTCTTGCCTCTTTCATCTGATGTTGACCACAAAAAGAAGATAATGGTATGCAAGACCATGTTTAAAAATACTTTTTCTGTAAGTAATACTTTTATACAATCTGCCATTGATAAATATGATAAAGATACGGGTATTTGTACTAAAGACATGAGAGGTTTTCATTCAAATCATCCAACTATTATAAATTCAGCAATGAAAGCAAATGTAACAGCACATGTTAATAGTTTAGCACCTGTAGAAAGTCGTTATACGCGTAAAGACTCAAACAAACAGTATTTAGATAGTGAATTGACTTTTAAAAAAATGTATGACCTGTATACTGTATGGTGTAAGGAGCAGAATATAACTGAAAATATAGCTGCTTCTGTAAGACAATACAAAGATATTGTTAACAATGAACTGAATATAGCATTCCATGTGCCTAAAAAAGACCAATGTGACCTTTGTCATGCAATGAAAAACAACACCTCACCCACTAGTGATGATAAAGTAAAGCATAAGTTTCACATGGATAACAAAAAGCTTGCCAGAGAATTGAAAAACGTTGACAAAATTGAAGCTCAATCGAATCCATCTGTTATTTGTACTGCAATGTTTGACTTCCAAAAAATAAATAATACGCCACATGGTGAAATCAGTGTGTTGTATTATAAAAGGAAATTATCAGTGTATAATTTTACTGTTTTTGATGCTGGGTCTAAGGAAGCTACGTGTTACATGTAGGATGAAACGGTTGCGAAACGTGGCGCCAACGAAGTGGCCAGCTGCTTGTTTTCTTTCATTAATAACAAGATTAAAGCTGGTGTCAAAGATTTTAGATTCTGGTCAGATAACTGTACTGGCCAGAATCGCAATCGCATTGTTTTTTTATGTACTTGTATGTAAGCAACACGTTTAAGGTAGATATATGCCATCGATTTTTAGAAAAAGGACATACTCAAAATGAGGCAGACAGCGTTCACGCGTTAATTGAGCGAACACCAAAAAATAAGCTTATTTACATACCTGATGAATGGTACACACTAGTTCGCTGGGCGAAACAGAATAGTCCATCTTATACAGTCGTAGAAGTGAACCAAGATTTGGTTTTGAATTTCAAAGCTTGGCTAAATACCAAAAACTGGATTAAAGATACAAATTCAGAGAAAATTTCTTGGAATAAAGTAAAAGAAGTAAAAGTATTAGGGGAAAACCCGGACGTCATTGAATTTAAGTACGATTTTTTGAAGAAAACTATAGAAAACTGGACTGTGGCAATAATTTGAAATTGACAAGAGGGAGGATAAAGAAAGACCAAGAAATAATACTAGAGAAGGTGTACAAAAATTTTATTCCTATACCTGAACCAAAGTACAAAGACTTGATTAGTTTATGCGATACAATGATTATACCTAAAAAATATCATGATTTCTATATTAAGCTTAAACATAGTAAGGAAGAACAGGGTGATGAGGAAGAAGATTGTTAATTATTTTTCTATAAATGTTAACTTTTTTATGTTATTTTTAAGAACTTGAATAATAACAATAAGATATGTCAGTCTGAATAAAGCTGTGATGATTATTAAATATTGCTAAATACGTAGAATAATATATGGATAATTAAGGTGAGACCAACTTAAATAAAAAAATGTTAATTATTAATCCACTGTGATTTTTTATGTTTAGTTTTACTTCAATGAGTCTGCTAGTGTTTATTGTTTAGATCCTAAGATTGAAGATTGTTACTTAACAATAAATAATTTTCTTTTTGCTATAAATGTTATTCGGATATTTTTATTTTTAGAGAACTATTGTATTAAGATGTATCAGTCTGAATAAAGCTGTGATGATTATTATTACTAATTAGATGGATAGTGATGGTGATTAAAAAATGTTAATTATTAATCCTAGACAACTGTGATTTTTATGTTTAGTTTTTGCTTAATGTTACTGCAAGTACCTTTTGTGTAGTTCCTTTAAATATTGTTACTTAACAATAAATAATTTTTGATTGTAACCCTTGTTTAATTAATAAAATGCTTTCCTGGTAATTTATGAAGGGACAAGTCTTTTTTTACATTATAAGAAATATTGTCTTACAATGACTAATAGAACCGCGTATACAGAGTTAAGTCTTAATTAAAGTACTTTTATGGCCAATCATAGCGATTTTAGGCAGTTTAGCAGATTAGTAAGAAAACATTACAATATTTCTACATTACCATAAGATTTTTTTAATTAAATTATACTTTTTACACTATTTCATCTCTCCTGCGTATAAAAAGGTATCACAGACATGTCCGTCATACTTTTATTTTAAGGTTAGCGTATATACAGCTATCTGTTAGTTTTACTAAGAACTGATAAAAATAGAAAATATTTATAAATGCCATTATAAACTTGCTAAAACTAATTAAACGTTACAAAAGAAAAAAATAATTAATTATGTACGGTATTCTTTGTAGAGCGGTTTGAACTTTAAAAACGCTCTCCTGAAAACCACGGTTTTTGACTTAACCTTTTGTTCGTAGGGAGCGTCGATATATATATGCATAAAGATGCATCGCAAGAATTGATTCGTATCGCGCATCAAAATCTTATCTTCCCAAAATCTTCTTTGTTTATTTTTCCTGTATCTCCTAAGCAATAACGGAAGTGCACACTTTTTTTACGATCCATGTCGTCACGGCCTAGTTTTTAATTTGAATTACGTTTAATACGGTTGAGTCGTCGAAGGAATGGTCACCCTGGGAGATGCCTTGTCGCACGAAATCGCATTGCAGCAATTCGCATCGTAATTTTTTGCGTTGCGAATTCGCATCGCATCGCATGGCTGTTTTGTGTACAAACCCTTACTCTTGAATAGCGTGGACGGCGATGTCACGCAGCCTATTAGGAACTAGCAGAGCTTTTCTCAGTATATTTACGTGAGTAATTCATAATTTTTTTGTTAATTCTGCTGTCTCACAATAGTTGTTATAGAAAGAAATAACATTAACAAAATAACTAATAATCATTTACTCTACTGTTTGTACCAGTAACAAGACGTACTCTTGCAAAGAAAAGTAGTATATAAAGATAAAACGATATTCTCTGACAATATGACCAAAATACTTGAGTGTGAAGAACTTCAGTGGTTATAATTATTTATTTCATTGGTACATACTAAACCAAATAAAAAAATAAATGTGGGATAAACATTGTACCTATTTAGTAATTTAAGAACGCAGATTATCGGATTGTTAAAACGGAACGCAGCGGATGAAAGAAAGAGACAAGTATGTGTGCGAGTGAGAGGGGAGAGGAATGGCGACACGAGTTACGAAAAACAGCCACGGTCGATGTAACGCTGATTTTTATAACGTGTTTGAAATAAAAGTTTCAATTAATAGTGTTCGATTATTTTGCCATACAATCCCACAAAATTGGGGGCTCGTCCGGGATTGGCAAAAATAACGATTATATAGGTATTTATTTTTATTTTATTTGTAAAATAATATTATGTATTATAATTATTATGTCTCATTGGCCGAGTGGTCGCAAGTGCCGAGCAAGGGGTCTCGGGTTCGATTCCCGGGTCGGGCAAAGTATTACTGGGTTTTTCAAAAAAATTCACAGTAGTAGCACGGACTCTGGAATTGTGCCCGGTATAATATGGCAATAGGCTCACCCCCTAATACATGGGACTCATAACATAAATAGTGAAAAGTGGGTGTTACATTTTACAGTGGCATAATGTATACCTCTGCCTACCCCTTCGAGGATAAAAGGCGTGATGTTATGTTATGTTATAATTATTATGTAATTTGACTTACTTAATTTCTTTTTACACTTAAAATGGGTACAGGACCATTTTCCAAAGATGCACGTACATCGGTTACATTTTATACGTTTCGAGTCAAAAACATCACATTCTTTTTTTCTTCGCAGTACATAATCTGAGAAAAAAAAGGAAGTATACAAAAACAGCAATACAATAGAGTAGTACCTATCCTAAATTTTATTTGAATGTGGGAGAGCCATGCTTTTTATGGTGTTTTTAGGGAGGAAAATCATCCAATGACTTCTTTCGGCTTGGGTGAGGTGAGAGGGATTGTCAGACTCCTACTGACTAAAACAACCCCGTTTCTCCTTCAGTTCTTTGACCGGGAATCCTGGTTCGCAGCAGGCCTACTATCTGTGGTGGTCTGATGGCTCTTTGAGGCGCGATTTTTTATGGGTTACGGAGTAAACGAGTACACGAAGAATGTACGACGCAGGAAATACTTATAATGTGAAGCACGCAGCCACTGCTTTATCAGAGTGTCAAGAAAAATGTGCAAGAGTACAGATAAATAATATTGGAGTGTTTCTCTGTAATATCAAAATAACCGTTTTTTACTACATGTATCTAATAACACATAGTTATACCAATTTTAAAACTTTTTAAATTTTTAATTGTCTGTCTATCTATCTGTTTGTACTGGCTAATCTCTGAAACGGCTGGACCAATTTTGCCGGCAATTGGCAAGTAGCTAGTGTACTTAGGCGAACATAGGATAAAGGCATTTATTCTAGAAAGACGCAGACGAAGTTGCGGAAGAAGTTCAATTAGTTCTAAATAAAATTGGGATAGCTTCTAAATACGATTTATGGAGACCCTTGACAGATTTGTATTTTAAGATAGCCATCCAAGAATGTTGCAGTCACCGTAAGTAATTTTTTTATGGGATAAGTCGATAAAAGAGCCGACGGATCACCTTATGGTAAGCAATCGGCGCCACCCATAGACGCCCGAAATACCAAAGGCATTACGAGTGCGTTACCAGCCTTTTAGGGATTGGGAACTTAAGGCTTGTTAGGGATTGCAGAGATTGGGGAGGGAGGTAATCAGAGAAAGAAAACACTTACAACCTGGAGTAGTGCTTTCTGTGTCACATATTTCGTTAGTACAAACAAACAACCCGTATTCACATTTACAGTGGTTGCAGTTGTCTATTTGTCGCGTGCTACCTTCTCTGCATGGAGTCGACATTATGTTTGCTAAAAATGTTAGTCAATTAATTAATAATTTCATATTATTGGAAAACTTAGAAATGTTCAATTTAATGGTGTTTTAATACATTTGTCACGCTTCCCGCCGTCTATGTATCTGTATGCGTAAATCTTTATAATTATGTAAAACAGATTTTAACTGGATTTTTTTAAAAGATAAAGTGATTTAAGAGGAAGATTGATTTATGTGTAGTAACTCCAGAATTTCATAGATATTACTTTATGTATTTTCATACTACGTACGTTTTCGCAATTTTGTATTTTTTTCGTAAGTATCACAATCACGTTTTGTACAATACCACAGCCATCGGAATATTTTAAGATTTGTTGATTTACTGCAGGTGCAAACGTTGCAATCGACCTTTTTTGGACTTATGTCCTTATAGGGATTGCATAAAACGCCATCTTCAAACACATGAATAAATTGTTAGTTTCATACGTGAGTAATAAATTAGATAAATATAGTGTAGTCGTGGTGGCCTGGAGACTTAGTTTGTTATGTATTAGTGTGTGGGTTTGAAACTTTGCAAGCACCAATGTCACTTCACATCACCGACATACGATGAAGGAAAACATCGTGAGGAAACATGAACAAAAAAATTTATATGAATGGACTAATAATTCCTTCGAGCAAGCGTCCTTGCGAGAAGAGGCATTTGCTTAGCAGCTAACACTTAAAGGCTAATGATGCTGCAATGAAAAATATTTCTAAGTTGATTGCGATTGTTGATAACAATGATTTATGCCTTACCCAATTTAACGGCCGCACAATCTGTATTCGTGCATATATCGTGGCCGTCAACACATACACAGTAATTACAAGGATCCGTTTTATATCGCTCGCCGTGTACACACCTTCTGTCACCTCTTCTGGTCATGCTCATATCTAAACCTAACAAAAGAAAAACCTTACTAAAATTATAAACACGACAGTTTGTACGTTTGTGTGTATGAGTTTTACTCAATCAGTCAAAACGGCTGAAGTGATCGGGATCAAATTTGGAACGGGGATAGATTATCGTTATGGTTACTAAGGTTAAGGTAGTATTATTATTTAGTAAGATTAGTAAGAAGAAAACCTATTACATAGTATAAAAAAAGAAAGACAGTTGGATGTGAAATTGGAAGATTTTAAGTTAGCTGCCATCTTTTGGTCAAGAGCAGAACTATGTAGTAACTAACTTCATCCGCGCGGTTATGTCTACTCTTCTCGGCTCCTATTGATCGTAGCGTGATGTTTAGTAGCCTATAACCTTCCTCGATAAATGGACTATTCAACACAAAAAAAAATATTGTAATCGGACAGGTAGTTCCGGAGATTAGCGCGTTCAAACAAACAAACAAACAAACAAGCAATCAAACAAACTAACTCTTAAGCTTTATTTAGTAGTATAAGATAAGAAAATAAAACGTATAACTAACGTGGGTGGATCTCGTCACAGATAGGGCAGATCCACTTTCCAGAGACGCAGAAGCATTCTCCACAATCGACCATTTTGGAGCTTCCAGTGTAGCATCTTGGACTTGACCTCGTGTTTACTGCAGTAAAATTGAATTATTGTACAACATTGCATTAATTTGGGGTAATAGTTCACGTTGCGGTAATTGACGAATGTATGCATCCTTCACAAACAATAGCGGGTTTAATGTTGCCGCTTCGTTGGCAGTTTTCATTTTTTCTAAGCAAGATCATCAACAGCCTATATTTGCCCACTGCTGAGGAAAGCCTCTTCTTACACGGAAAAGGTTTGATCATTAATCACCACGCTTGATCAATGCGGGTTGGTGATTACAAACTGTAATTAGAAATTATAAGCCCAGGTTTCCTCACGATGTTTTCCTTCATCGTTTGTCAGTAGTGTCTAAATAATCTTAGAAAGTACATTATAACTCGGAAAAATTCACATTGGTACTTGCCGTTGGTAGTTTTCGAACCTGACCCGTAGCAATAAGCTCACCCCCTATTACATGGGACTCATAATATAAATAGTGAAAAGTGAGTGTTACATTGTACAGTGGCATTAAATGCCGTAATGTGCACCTCTGCCTAACCCTTCGCGGATAAAAGGCGTAGGTGATATTATACTATGTGAAAATAAATTTAACTTACGTATTTTGTTAAAGAGCACGTTATTTTCACAACTAGGGCAATCCCATATTCCCGTAGTGCAGACGCATTCTCCACACGTGCTTTGTTTTACTGAGCCTACTACACAAAACGCTGGAACAAAAACGAATTGAATTAAAACAAAATATTGTGTCTTGTTACGTTTTAAAATCTTAGTGTGTACCGTCTATTAAACTGTTTACAGTTACAAATATAATCAATAGTCTCTGCCTGCCCCACATGGAAGAAACAACTGGTACTGGTACAACTAAATCATTCAGTTAAGACCTATATGTAACATCGTCGATCTGTGTATTATAAACACGTTTTAAATATCAAAGCATAAGTAGACTTTGATTATATAATCTCTAGATGGAATGCCAGCCCTAGCCGTCGCGAGAGACACTCCGGGCGTTAGGAATTGCGAGATGATCTCCGGCCACCGTAAGCACGGGCCTGCGGACGGCGAGCACGGGTAACTCGCCGTCCGATCAGAATCAGACTCGAACGTACGGCGCGTCGCGTTACGCGCGCGCGGCTCAAGGAGCCGTCAAACCACCACAGATGGGGCTGTAAGGGCTGATGCCGATACGGAGCCGCGTAGGGCTTAACGAGTTACCGGGACTCCGGCTCGAGTGCAGGAGTAGAAGCGAGGTGGTTTTTAGTCAGTAAGACTGACACTCCCTCCCGCCTCACTCGGGGCGGGAGAAGTCATTGGATGAGATTCCCCCCTCAAAAAAAAAAAACGAAAGATGGGAGAATTTTTGTCGTAGCTGGTACCATTTTAACACCGTGTAAACAACAAACCGCACGCACACACGCAAGAAATATCGCGACGTAATTTTTGTTGCTGTTGTAAGGTAACGCTCCATCTATTATAATTTACAATTTAAGAATATAAAATAGATTTACCGCTTTCCTCTATGCAGGCTTTCAAAGTGCAGACCTCATTATTATCGATGCAGAAGCAACGATTGCATCCCTCGTCATCCATGTATGACGTACCATTAACGCATTTCACATCCGTCTTTATCCTCAGCGTTTTCCCTAAAGTATAAAGATTTTATTACAATTGAAAAATTTTATTACAACACAGTACCTACTACGAAGTAGGACGCAGCCTGAGTAATTGTTTCTTCGGAACTTATTTTCAATTATGTGAGCATATTTGAGTAATACTATAATAATACTATATGGCCAAGAGTCACTAAATGTATTGTATATGTTACTGGCCAGACCCGATTTCAGGTCAAAGTAGTTTAGCATATGTTAAACAGTTCAAGCAGTGGAGCCCCGCTTTGCGGGGCTGCTATTTCTGTCGGAACGGTTTAAAGTACCCTACTGAATACGCTGTCCTATAATTCTTTCAAAATAAAATAATATACATATCGACATTGTTACTTCAACTTCCAATGTGCCCATGAATGCCCATGATTCTTCAATCCTTGATTTTTAGAACACTCTGTATCATTTACTTACAATTTTCAACAAACTACGTTTAAAACTATTGGCTTCAACATTCTACTTTGTTTTGTAGTCGGCTAATTATAATGTTAATAATATTAAAATCACTAATATTCAAAAACACTTTTCTGATAACTGCATCAAAATCGGTTCAGCCAATCGCGAGATAATTGGTGTCAAACATACAGGTGAAACAGAGAAACTCTTTAATGTCTTACTCTTACTTAAGTGTGGGAGAGCCATACTTCGGCACGAAAGGGTCGGCTCGACCGGAGTTATACCATGATCTCAAAGACAACCCACGTGAAACAACGCTTGCGTTGTATTTCATCGTGTGAGTGAGGTTACCGGAGGCTTAATTATCCCCCTCCTCAATCTCCCCAATCTCCTAATTCCCAACAATCCTCAAATTCTTATTCCCCAAAACATCAGTAACAGTCTTGTAACGCCTCCGTTGTTTAAGGTGTCCATGGGCGGCGCCGATCGCTTACCACCAGGTGTTTAGTCTGTTTATATCATAAACAAAATCCGATATTATTGAATTTACCTCCGTGGGTACCGCAGTCGTGTAAAGTGCAGTACTCTGTGTTATCGACGCAGTGGCAGCGATTGCATCCCTCGTCATCCATGTACGACGTACCTTCAACGCATTCGGATCGTGTGGCTCTCAACAACGCTTTTCCTTTATCTGAAAAGGGGTGACAGTTTTAGCTGTTACCATTAGTATTAAGGACATGCAATGCTTAAACGAAGGTCTTTATAAATGTTTCAAAACGTTAGGTCTGTATATTCGGACTTGAAAAGGAAGTCGGGGCTGTATAAATTCCTGTTGCAGCTTTGGGATCGTCTATCTGTACATTATTATACACACTAGCTTTTACCCGCGGCTTCGCTCGCGTCACAAAAAGATAAAAAGAAGCCTATGTGACTATCCATCCCTTCAACTACCTTCAGTTAAAAATCACGTTGAGTACCTCCGTTTTGCTGTTTAAGACAGGCAAACAAACAAATGGCTGTTCGCTCGCGTGGAATTCGGTTATATCGCGCATATTAGAATTTTCCGTGGGAATGAGAACTTTAAAATCCGTTCAGCCGTTTAGCGTGAAAGAACAACAGAAGGAGTTATTTTCGCATTACCACAAATACCATCCTCCCATTTTAATTTAAAAGACTTCTATTTCCTATAAGGGCTTCATTTGCAATGTTAAACCAAAACTGAGTGGTAAACTATATTATACGTTTTATTATCGAAAACCTGCTTTAGACATCTACTTAGAAATAAACCACTTCACTAATCTAACCTAACTAATATATAGCTACTGTATTCATCATCGTAAACAATGATCAAAGCGACTTAAAACGACGAAAAAAATAACTACTTTAGATAATAATATTACCAAGAAAAAATCAACACTTGACTTATCAAACCTACAGAGCGAACGAATAAAAATATGCGATGCGTACACCGAAATGTAATTGTTTCGGAAGTTCGGAACCTATACTTTCGCCGGAAACGAAACCATAGCGCCGTCTAATTCGATCCTAACGCCATCTATCGAGCGTTGAAACGACAGCGTATAATATATTTGCTAATTGTTGAGTATTGTTGTTGCCACTATGATTTCGTGTACCTTTAACAACCTAAAAAAAACTCCATTAAACTCCATAAACAACTCTATAAAATTCGCAATTCAATGTAAAATGGTTAGAACCAAAATTTAAAGGCGAAAAATACTTAAAAACATAACGAAAAAAAAACCCTGTTGTTACACACTCAACGCCATCTATCGCCAAGTAGCGTAACTACTACACAACGTTACCACGTTGTGTTTTTTAAGTATTTTTACATATAAAACAGCAAACAAATGAGTCGAAAAGTGCACCGAATAAGTGTAGATTAACACCAAATAAGCGCTATAGTTTAAAGCGTGAAATTTCCAAGTAGTAGGTAATTAGTTGAATTGTTTTAAATGGCATACAGTGCCATCTGTACGAAACACACACAGCGCCATCTATACTAATATTTTTGTTTTTCCTCGGGAATATCACATTTTCCGGGATAAAAAGTACCCTATGATTTAATCTGGACTTCTAACTTTACGTCTGCAAAATTTCAAAGCAATCGGTTTAGTAGATACGGAACGTGAAAGCAGAACAAACAAACAAACGAACAAAATCACTTTCAGGTTTGTAATATAAGGATTTTAAAAATATGAGTGAATAGTAGATATAAAATAAATTTACCGCTTATCTTTAGGCAGGTTTTCAAAGTGCAGAACGCGCGATTATTGATGCAGAAGCAACGGTTGCATCCCTCGTCATCCATGAAAGACGTACCATTAACGCATTGGAAATCCGACTTTATCTTCCGCATTTTCTCTAAAAGTATAAAGATTGAATCAACATTACTATTTATAACACAGTACCAGGAACTAGAACGCCGCACGGGTAATTGTTTCTTTGGAACTTATTCAATTATGTGAGCATTTTTAAGCAGTACTTTTTTTAAGGGGGGAAGTTCATCGAATGGCTGCTCCCGCCTGGGTGAGGCGGGAGGGAGTGTCAGACTCTTACTGACTAAAAACCACCCCGTTCCTCCTCCTGCGCTTTGAGCCGGAGCCCCGGTAACCCGTTAGGTTCTCCGCGACATATCAGTATAGACCAGTTATTAGTATTGTATATGTTACTGGCCAGACCCGATTTCAGAACAAAGTAGTTTGGATCAAGCAATGGAACCTCGTTTAGCGGGGCTGTTGTTTCCGCCCGCACGATTTGAACTAACCTACGGAATCCACTTTCATACAATAATATCAGAATGAAACGACATATGTACATACTTCCATATAATAATTTCAAATAAAATGACATACATACTTGATTACTTATCGACACTGTTATTCCAACGTGCCCATGAATGCCCATGATCCTTTAAACCAACTTCCAAAAAAGGGGAATATTCTCAATTCGCCTAATTGTTGTTTTTTGTGTGTATGTTATGCGATTACTATGGCGTTTGTGGGCAAATTAAAAACTCCATAAAATCGGTATATATCGGTATATAATATATATTAAACTTACCTCCGTGGGAACCGCAGTCGTGTAAAGTGCAGTACTCTGTGTTATCGATGCAGTAGCAGCGGTTGCATCCCTTGTCATCCATGTACGACGTACCATCAACACATTCGGAGCGTGTGGTTCTCACAAATGCTTTATCTTCATCTAAAAGGGGGTGAGATTTTTAGCTGTTACCATTAGTATTAAGGATATGCTAAGTTGTAATGAAGAGTAAGTGTGGGAGAGCCATGCTTCGGCACGAATGGGCCGGCTCGACCTGAGTGATACCACGGCCTCACAGAAGACCGAAGTGAAGCAACGCTTGCGTTGTGTTTCGTCGTGTGAGTGAGGTTACCGGAGGCCCAATTGCCTTCCCCTTCCCCAATCTCCCCAGTCCCTAAATCACCAACGATCCTCAAGCTCCTAATCCCCAAAAAGCCGGTGACGCACTTGTAACGACTCTGGTGTTCCAGGTGTCCATGGGCGACGCCGATTGCTTACCATCAGGTGATCCGTGTGCTCATTTACCGGCTTATGCCATAAAAAAAAGGTCTTCATAAAAGTTTCCAAACGTTGGGTCTGTATATTCAGACTTGAAAGTGTCGGAAGTCGAGGCTTTATAAATTCCTGTCGCAGCTTTAAGTATTGGGATCGTCTATCTGTACATTATTATACACGTTTTTAAAATATGGGGGCTGCTGTTTCTGCCCATGTTTGAACTAATCTACCGAATCCGCTTTCGTTTAATAATTTCAGAATAAAACGACATACATACTTTCATATTATAATAATTTCGAAGGTACGTGTATAGTATCTCTTAGCATTCCGAAACCGCGGGTACAGTTGGTAAGTGCATAAATATTAACCGACTTCAAATAAAAGTGGTCCTCAGGTATGTAATTATAATATGTATGTATGTATAGTATGTGTGCAATAATCTCACGATTGACTGAACCGATTTTGATGCGGTTTTTTTACACTTAGGAGAAGGAATTTTAGTTAACCGTCTTAAAAAAGAAGAGCTGGTTGAAGTCGGTATTATAATATTTATTTATTTGACATACACTTACCAATTTCTTCTGCCTTAAAACAACCCATCTTAGTACAGACTTTATTATTATTAATACACGTGCAGTAATTGCATTCGTCTTCATCTAGGAACCAGTCACCCTCTGGATGGTCGTCGCATTCAGGATTTTGGAATCTTAACTTATTTTTATCTAAAAGTATGAAGATGCAAATCAAACATAAAATAATACTTACAACAGTATATATAACGGAATATATAATAGGATATAACGGAATGGAATGGAATGGAATGGAATGGAATAGAATGGAATAGAATAGAATAGAATAATCTTTATTACACACCATTAATAATACAGAACATTTTTTTTTTTTCTTTTTCCTCAGATCTACAATCAGCCGATACGGCTTTAATCAGATGAGATGACGAGCTTTTGGGACTTTGGAGAGTTGCACATCCTGTGACATGCTAACTCTATTTCTTTTTTCCCTAAAAATGGGTTTATGTAGACGCTAGTTGCTTTCTTTTCAGTCGAGATAAGCAGTTGTCTGAGTTTATGAGCTGTGATGCCAGATGGTTAATGTGTCGCCCAAGGCGTTGTTTGTAAGACACAGATGAACTCTTTATTTCTTCCTTGACTGTCGGAATCTGCAGATATTCGTGCACCTCCGTGTTTCGTGTGAACCATGGTGCATTAACCAGTACCTTTAGCACTTTGTTCTGATAATCAATACAGAACATAATAAACATAAATAAAAAATAATAATGGGCACAATGGCGGACTTATCACTTATAGTGATTTCTACCAGACAACGTTTGGGTGGATAGATTGCTAAAGAAATACTTAGACGGATTGTGTCCTACAAAAAATGTAATAGTAATAATACATACATCCACATACGTATATATACATACACATACAAATATCCATGCATAAATTTACATAGATAAATATATATGTATATACATAAATATATAATTACTTATAAATATACCAAAATTGTGCATCACATAAGAGGAAACAAAACAGTTTGATGATGACGTCATTATAGACAAGAGAGAGACAAGAGAGATAGTGCTTCTTAACTTTCTCTTTAAATGCAGCCAACTACTGAGCTTGTCTTAGCTTAAGCTATGGTTTTTTATTTAAAAAACGTTTTACTCAGCCATGTCAGACATTAACGAACTATGTAAACAAAATCTAAGGAACCAGAATTATGTACACTTCTAATTCTTGTATCATCATGAAACTTGACAATATACCTCATAACACACACACACACTTGCTCACATTTACTCGCTATTTGTATTCTGATAGTGTTGTCAAAGCAACTTAACTGTCCGTGGAGTCGCATACGACTCACGATGAACTTTTGAAATAAGTTCATGAGTCTCAGGTGTGATTTATAGGAAATAGTGAAAAGTGAGTGTTACATTGTACAGTGGCATTAAGTACCGTAATGTGCACCTCTGCCTTACCCTTCGCGGAAAAAATGCGTAATGTTATATTATGTAAAAATAAAATTTACTTACGTATTTTGGTAAAGAGCTCGTTATATTGACAACTAGGGCAATCCCACCTTCCCGTAGTGCAGACGCATTCTCCACACATGCTTTGTTTTACTGATCCTACTAAGCAAAACGCTGGAACAAAAACGAACTGAATTAAAACATAATATTGTGTCTTGTTACGTTTTAAAATCATTTCATTACGTCTTTTATCCCCGAAGGAGTAGGCAGAGGTGCACATTACAGCGCTTAATGCCGCTGTATAATGTAACACCCACTTTTCACTATTTATGTTATGAGTCCCATGTAATAGGAGGTGAGTCGATTGCCATATACCGGACACACTTCCGGACTCCGACTACTTTATTTTATTGGGACAAGCCCGCCACAACTTCCCAAAACCGCTGCAACTCCTGTAAGCCAAGATCTACAGTTTTTTTTTTTTAAATCGTTGCCCCACACTAGGATTCTCTGCTGTGTCGTGGGTGCGTTTACAAACATACAAGTTCACATACACAATGACACCCAGACCCGAAACAACAATTTGTGGATCACACAAAGTGTTGTTCCGTGCGGGAATCGAACCCGCGACAAGTTGATACAACCGTCCGTGGTTCTTGGCGACTGGGCTTCACCCAGTTGTACAGTCTCTTTTCTTTGTGCCTTTGGGCTTCATTCACTCTGTCTCCTGCAGTAATTCATCGAGGGAAGTGGAGACTCCGACTACTGAGACAATACTTTACCCGACCCTGAAATCGAACTCGAGGCCCCTTGCCCGGCATTCGCACTTGCGATCACTCGGCCAATGAGGCAGTCAACAACAATATTTATTTTATACGAAAAATAAATTACTTATTAGGCAAAATATAAATAGGTATCAACAAAGTGTCCAATAAAAAAAAACTTTGAATCCAAATTTAAATAGATCAATATATTTTTTTAAATTTAAATATAGATGATTTAGTAAATGTACCTAAATATTAATGGAAGATAAAAATTTTATGGGAGAATTTTTGTCGTAGCTGGTACCATTTTAACACCGTGTAAACAACAAACCGCACGCACACACGCAAGAAATTTCGCGACGTAATTTTTGTTGCTATCGTAAGGTAACGCTCCATCTATTATAATTTACAATTTAAGAATATAAAATAGATTTACCGGTTTCCTCTATGCAGGCTTTCAAAGTGCAGACCTCATTATTATCGATGCAGAAGCAACGATTGCATCCCTCGTCATCCATGTACGACGTACCATTAACGCATTTCACATCCGTCTTTATCCTCAGCGTTTTCCCTAAAAGTATAAAGATTGAATCAACATTACAATTTTATTACACCGCAGTACCTACTACGAAGTAGGACGCAGCCTTTTTTTGTTTTGAGGGGGAAAATCATCCAATAACTTCTACCGCCCGGGTGAGGCGGGAGGTAGTGTAAGACTCTTACTGACTAAAAACCACCCCGTTCCTACTCCTGCACTTCGAGCAGGAGCCCCGGCAACCCGCGTCTTCCGTCTGTAGTCTTCTAAGTCTTCCGCGGCTCCGTATCGGCATCAGCCCTGCTAGGGCCCGTCTGTGGTGGTCTGATGGATCCTTGAGGCGCGCGCGGAACACGACGCGCCGTCCGCTCGGGCCTGGTTCTGGTCAGGCGGCGAGTCACCCGTGTTCGTCGTCCGCAGGCCCGTGCGGACGACGAACACGGAAATCGTGCGTGTGGCCGGAAATTGTCTCGCGATCCCCGACACCCGGAGTGTCTCTCGCGACGGCCGGGTAGTGAGGAGGTTCGTTCCCTCACGCGCTCCGCCTCCTCCTTAGCTAGCATGACTGCTTTGCAGAAGGACGAGTCGGCATCCCAGTCCCCCTCGCTCCGTACCATGGTCTGAACCAGAGTCGGACGTGAGAGGTCGCCGTCGCCGATCACATTCCTGAGGACACGGCGGTGCTCAGTCCACGCAGGACACACCGCCACCGTATGCTCCACCGTGAAGTAGGACGCAGCCTGAGTAATTGTTTCTTCGGAACTTATTTTCAATTATGTGAGCATATTTGAGTAATACTATAATAATACTATATGGCCAAGAGTCACTAAATGTATTGTATATGTTACTGGCCAGACCCGATTTCAGGTCAAAGTAGTTTATCATATGTTAAACAGTTCAAGCAGTGGAGCCCCGCTTTGCGGGGCTGCTATTTCTGTCGGAACGGTTTAAAGTACCCTACTGAATACGATGTCCTATAATTCTTTCAAAATAATATAACATACATATCGACATTGTTACTTCAACTTCCAATGTGCCCATGAATGCCCATGATTCTTCAATCCTTGATTTTTAGAACACTCTGTATCATCTACTTACAATTTTCATTAAACTACGTTTAAACATATTGGTTTCAACATTCTACTTTGTTTTGAAGTCGGCTAATTACCTCTATAATGTTAATAATATTGAAACCACTAATATTCAAAAACACTTTTCTGATAACTGAATCAAAATCGGTTCAGCCAATCGCGAGATAATTGGTGTCAAACATACAGGTGAAACAGAGAAACTCTTTAATGTCTTACTCTTACTTAAGTGTGGGAGAGCCATACTTCGGCACGAAAGGGTCGGCTCGACCGGAGTTATACCATGATCTCAAAGACAACCCACGTGAAACAACGCTTGCGTTGTATTTCATCGTGTGAGTGAGGTTACCGGAGGCTTAATTATCCCCCTCCTCAATCTCGCCAATCTCCAAATTCTAACAATCCTCAAATTCTTATTCCCCAAAACACCAGTAACGGTCTTATAACGCCTCCGTTGTTTAAGGTGTCCATGGGCGGCGCCGATCGCTTACCACCAGGTGTTTAGTCTGTTTATATCATAAACAGAATCCGATATTATTGAATTTACCTCCGTGGGTACCGCAGTCTTGTAAAGTGCAGTACGCTGTGTTATCGATGCAGTGGCAGCGGTTGCATCCCTCGTCATCCATGTACGACGTACCTTCAACGCATTCGGATCGTGTGGCTCTCAACAACGCTTTATCTTTATCTAAAAAGGGGTGAGATGTTTAGCTGTTACCATTAGTATTAAGGACATGCAAAGATCAAACGATGGTCTTCATAAACGGGTCTGTATATTTAGCCTTAAAAGGTCGGAAGTCGAGACTGTATAAATTCCTGTCCAGCTTTGGGATCGTCTATCTGTGCAATATTATACACATTGTTAAAATATGAGTGAATAGTAGATATAAATAAATTTACCGCTTATCTTTAGGCAGGTATTCAAAGTGCAGACCGCGTGATTATTGATGCAGAAGCAACGGTTGCATCCCTCGTCATCCATGAAAGACGTACCATTAACGCATTGGAAATCCGACTTTAGCTTCGGCCTTTTTTCTAAAAATATAAAGATTGAATCAACATTACTATTTATAACACAGTACCAGGAACTAGAACGCTCACGAGTAATTGTTTCTTTGGAACTTATTCAATTATGTGAGCATATTTCAGTAATACTATTATACCACTACATGGAGTCACTGTTATTGGTATTGTATAATATGTTACTAGTCAGACCCGGTTTCAGAACAAAGTAGTTTGGATCAAACAATGGAAAATCGCCTACAGGGACTGCTGTTTCTACCCGCACGGTTTTAACTAACCTACCGAATCCACTTTTATACAATAATCTTCTATATATATAAAAGAAAGACAGGTTTGTTCCAACACTTATAAGGCGAGATCGAGATAGGTCTGTAGTTACTAGGGTCGACACGACTGCCTTTTTTAGGCACAGGTTGTACGTTGGCCAGCTTCCATGCCTTCGGCACTTGACCAGTCTCAAAAGTTAGGCGAAACAGACGTGTCAAGAATGAAAAATGTTGTTTTTTGTGTGCATGTTAGGCGATTACTCCGGCGTTTGTGGACGGATTAATAACTCCTTAAAATCGGTTGATATTAAAATTACCTCCGTGGGAACCGCAGTCGTGTAAAGTGCAGTACTCTGTGTTATCGATGCAGTAGCAGCGGTTACATCCCTTGTCATCCATGTACGACGTACCATCAACGCATTCGGATCGTGCGGCTCTCAATGCTTTATTAGGTTTATCTAAAAAGGGGTGAGATTTTTGTTAAGTATTAATAACATGCTAGGTTTTAACGAAGGTCTTCATAAATGTTTCCAAACGTTGGGTCTGTATATTCAGACTTGAAAGGTCGGAAGCCGAGGCTTTATAAATTCCTGTCGCAGCTGTAAGCATATTGGGATCAGAAAGAAAGAAAAAAAAATATTTACGTTAAAAACAAGTGACATGTACAGATCTGTAATTCTATTAGTAGGAACTGATGGATACATATTCATGTTCCAAGTCTGCCGTGATATGGGACCAGTTGGGACCGCTTGGGACCAGTTGGGACCACTTGGGACCAGTGAAATGGGATCAGCCTTACTCTACATTGAAAAGGACGTTCGAAGGTCTTTTCAATAGACCTTTTGCAATTGTTTTGGCCTGAAAACAAGTTATTTTGACAAGAAGACTGAGTAAAGTAAAATGTCTTACTTTTTAAATGCTTAGTTATGGGGCAGATTATACCAGTGCACATGTAAAGTTGTCCAGCGACACACGTGCAGCGATTGCAGCCCACCTTTGTGTTTCTGCCCATCGTGCAGTACGCAGCTAGAAAACAAATGACAGTGTCATTATATCAGCTACGTGACATCTACTATCAGACATAGACCTAGAGCTTTTTCTACGTTAATGCGATCAAAACGAAACTTTGTCGCGGGTAGCCCTGTGATTAACTCGTCGAGTACCGTCATTATAGACACAATTATAGAACAATAGGTTGCGGTCACCGGTGACCGCTTGGTGTTTGACAGTTTAATCCGTTTCAGTTGACCAATCAGAACACCGTACATCATAAACGTGTCGATGGCGTTAACGTAAAACCTATTCGCACTAGCTTCTCTGAGTCAAGCGACTTTCTATGGCCTTTATCAAGTCGTCGGTCCACCTTCTGGGTCGTCTGGTACGTGGCCTCCATTGGTTGGCTGTCGGTTTTCATAGAACAAGTCGCGTATCGTTTTACTATTTTTTTTCCTATGACCCTAGCAGTAATCAAAAGACGTCGGCGGTAGCATTGAGCTACAGAGCACATCTTTTTAGCTTCTATCACATTTGTACATGCTGGTCTCATTTTTGTTTTTTTTTTTTAAAGACTGTGAGACTTTATGAGTTCTAGATAAGTTTTAATAGTGATCATAAAGGGCATTTTCCCTTACAATATAATATCATGGGATAAAGACATGACATTTTATATGTAGATGTAGAGTCACATACCAAGTGAGTACTTTCCTTAATCAAAAATAAATTATTTCGACTGTTTAATACAATAAAATATTAAAAATAATCACACTTTTATTAATTAATTTTATGACCAACTTAATTTTAGAATTTTTCCAGCATTTTTTTTTAAGAAATGAGTACGCTGTTTTATGCTGAAAAAACGTGACGTCACAATACACAATCTCGTACAAAATTCATAGAAAACTGTCGTTTTTCACAGTTCGAAAAAAGTATTGAATTTGACTAGTTGGCAAGTACTGTATTTGGTATGCAGGTACGAAAATAAAGATTGATAAATACAGAGACAATAAGCACCGGGTGACTACTGAGCCAAACTAATGATTACAAAATAAATATTTTATCATAAACAGCCTATTCACAGCCCATTGCTGAGCAAAGCCATTTCTCGAACGGAGAAGGTTTGAGCATAAATCACCACGCATGCTCAATGCAAGCAATGGGTTAGAGATTTCAAACTTATAATTAGAAATCATAAGATCAGATTTCTTCACGATGTTTACTTAATAAATAAATATATGGTTTCGTTTAAAATCATATAATAGCAGTGTAGCAATAGCTACTGTTTCTTTAATGAGTTCATTTTTATTTTGTTACCTGCATATCAACTGAACTGACTTTTAAAGTTAAAATAACAACTTACACCCTTCTGATAAAGGTAGCTGAGAACTTTTGGCTGTCTCTGAAATACAAGAACGTTATGGAGTTAAGCTTATATCTATACTAATATTATAAAGAGGAAAGATTTGTACCTATTTTTGTATGTTTGTAATGAATAGGCTCAAAAAGTGCAGGGCCGATTTAAAAAATTCTTTCACCAATAGAATGCTACATTCTTCAAATTTGACATAGGCTACATTTCATTTTGAAAAAAAATAGGGATTCTTGGTAAAATTTGAACAATGTAACCGAAGGTGTAGAAAAATGAGTCTTACAATGTCTTTCGTCGAATGCGCTGCCGAAACTATTAGCGATAGAACAAAATAATGTACAACAATATTGAAGAACATCATAATGTCTACAAAAAACTCCGCGGTAGCATATGTCCAACTATTGTAGTTATGTCACTACAACAATCCAAATTTCCAAAAATAAACAATTGTCTACCCCGTGCGAAGCCGGGACGGGCTGCTAGTGGCAAATATTATTAGCAAATAGATGTTAATAATAGATTTTATTATTTTCCACTGGCACAAGTGCGATTGCTGGGCAAGGTTTCGAGTCGGGTAAAGTATTACTGTTTTTTAATTCTCAGTAGTAGCACGGAGTCTGGAATTGTGTCCGAATCACCCCTTATTACATGAGACTCACAACATAAATAGTGAAAAGTGGGTGTTACGTTGTACCTCTTAAGTGCCGTAATGTGCACCTATGGCTACCCCTTCAGGGTAAAAGGCGTGTCATGTTGTGGTGTTATGTTAGTAAAAGGGTAAATTGTGAAATTTTATTTTCATGTCCGTCTGGTAGATTAATTTAAAACATTACACACGTATTTTTTTCCCACATTTTTTAAAAATATTTTTATGGGCCGACGTTTGATTATCTCGCCTGGTGGTAAGCGTTAATGCAGTCTACGATGGAGCACGTCGTCCCATAAGCAACCTATTCGAACGTCATACGTCCAAACGTATGACGTCACACTTATAAAGTTAACGCTACTTTTTCAAAGTAATAATGTAACTTTACACTTTTTTTCATTACCTAACTGACGGCTTAATTATTGTATTGAAAATATGTGATAGTGTATGCCTTATGACTTGGAAACGACAATTAGTATAGAAGAAAATTATCTTACCGAAGTCTTCTGAGTGACTCAGGAATACATACACATTAAGTGCTCGTAGTCCTGAAATATTTACATTATTTCTTTGTTTATTTTGCAATGGTGATAGTCTTAATTGTTGATACATATGGGGTACTTTATTTAAAAACATTACAAAAACGCCTGTTGGACGCATCTCGTGATCTATTTCTCGGTCAAAGGTTAAGCATTGCCATACAACGTGGCAATGCTGCCAGCCTTCTGGGTACTTTCCCTATTGACGTCGATGCGGACGAATGTTTTGATGCTCTGTGTAAGTAGTTAGTCTTCTTTTATTTAATTTTTATCTTTTATATATAGTGTGTATATTTATTTATTTTTTCATACAAAAATATAATTCATTAGAATTGTAAACAAATAAGACGAATAGATAATAAAAACTAAACATGTTTAAAATAGTAACATTACACTTGAAAAAATAAAATGTAAAAAGAATAAATAAATACTTTTATGTATACGACCGTTATTTATATCTTTATCTTTTCGTTTGACTGCCTCATTGGTCGAGTGGGCGCAAGTGCAACTGCTGGCCAAGGGGTCTTGGGTTCGATTCCCAGCTTAGGTAAGTTAAACTGGTTTTTATTTTAATCTCAATAGTAACACGGAGTCGGGAATTGTGCCCGGTATATGGCAATAGGCTAACCTCTAATTACATGGGATTCATAACATAAATAATGAAAAGTGGGTGTCACATTGTGGCATTAAGTGTCGTAATGTACACCACTGGCTACCTCTTCGGGATAAAAGGCGTGAAGTTATGTTATGCTTTTTCGTTTTCCTGTTATCATTTTGGTGCTTTAGGATAGTTTCTTCGTCCCAATTTTTCATTACCAGCTCGTCAAATATAAGACATACTCGTACGTCTGATCTCACCTCATTTAACAAATCTAAACACTCTTTTCTAAAGTCATTATTATTAAAAAAGTAATTACTTGCTTTAAGTTTGTCGTAACTTAGCTTATCGTCTTCGCCTGTAAAAAAAAATAAAAAATCTTAATTAATAAACAACCCATGTAAGTATTAAAATTATAAACTTTGATCAAAAATAATAAAACAATTTTGTCCCACACATGAATTTTCTTCTGCAGCTGGGTAGCTGCAATTATAGCCGTGTTTGTGATGACCTGGGTGCTTACTCTTGAAATCAATCTCAATGTCAATTCAATTTCAATCCAATAAAGTCTCAATAATTATCCAGTGTCAAAACTATACAAGCCCTATCATAGCTGTCAAAGTATCATTTAGAATACGGAATATAAAGCCAAACTCAATACCATTTAGTTCATTCAATATCCACGCAATACGAATGCAGTGGGCGCTAGTGTTGCAACTCCAGAGTACGAAATTTCACAATACCAATGTCAATCGGTCGGATTTGGATTCAAGAGTAAACCCCCTGATCAACGACGCATTAATTTGAATAACACATGATATAAAATATTACCTCGTCGAGTATTATCATAATATGTGTTAGCAAATCTTCTCAGTGATTCTGTAAAATTTCCATTCATAAAACTAACATGCAAGCCGTTCGGCCTACGACCATCGACCCTTTCTGAAAAAAAAAAAATGGGTAGGTATAGCAAAATAAAAATCAATGGTTGTACATAAGCTTCTGCCAATGGGTTCGACTGCAATACCGTGGAATACCTTGGGATGATAAGTAGCCTATTTGTTATTTCAGACCATAATGCATATCTGTTCCAAATTCCATCTCGATCCCTTTAGCAGTTTTGACGAAAAGGAGTAAGAAGGAAACATACACACCTTCGAATTTATAATAAATATGAAGTATAATAATCACTTCGACTTTTAATAATGTTGGGGCCAATGAGCTTTTGTTGTATTTTTTTTATGGAATAGGAAGCAAACGAGCAGACTGATCACCAGATGGTAAGCGATCAGCGTCGCCCTTGCACACCCGCAACACGGGGTGTGACTCCTGTGCGGTGAGGTGCGTTACCGGCCTTTTAAAAAGGAATACGCTCTTTTTTTGAAGGATTGAAGGTCGTATCGGTTCGGAAATACCGCCGACGACAGATCATTCCGCAGTTTTGCTCTACGAGGCATAAAGCTACGTGAGAAGCGCACAGTTGTGGCCTGCCAACCATCTACATGGTGGAGATGCATATGCTGTCGTGAGGGTCGATGGAGAAAAGATGCGGCAGGTATCAGGTCAATCAATTCCTCAGAGCATGTGGTGCATGCAAATAGAACATTACGTTCGTCTTTCCACATAAAAAGTGGTGTCTGTATCGCTATTCATTTATAGCAGAGCGTGCTGATTTAGACGTAAAAAAGTCGAGCTGAAAGCCAGATCACCACCGGCCATACACTGTCATCATGAGTACGGAGTGCTGACACATGACATATCTGCAGTAGGGTTTATAATAAGGGTGTGCACGCTAGTGACCAACGCATTTATCGTAGAAGAGCTGGACAAACAAGCGAATGAAACAGTCTCGAAATAGTTTCCGAAATCGATGAAGATGTACATGAACTAAGGCTGTTAACAATAACTTTTTAATGAAGGCTACACAGTACACACATTACGAATCAATTTTATAGTCCAACTGTACAGTTAACATTGGCAGGTCCAAACAGCTAACACAGCAACAAATAAAACTGTACAGTTCAAATGTTTTCTCTACACACCTTACAATTCAATTGTATAGTTCAACTGTACAGGTAAGTTAAAACTCATTGTTAAATTGTAAGGTGTGTAGCGTGCATAAGCACAATATTAATAAAATGTTTCAATCTCATGATAGTCATTTGTCATGAAATCAAGGTAAAAGGCGAATGGCAGAATTCGTACAACATACATATATTTTTTGTTGTTCCTTTATACAATTTGCACCACTTATTAAGGCATCTAAACCATTCATTTTTTTTGTAACATTATTATTTTTAGGAGTTCGAATTCATCAAAACGGCTATACCTGATATTTCCAAAGAAGGAAGGATCTCTACCTCTAGACAATTGATTTTCGTAGCTTACTTCATTACAAGATAAATGTTCTAAAAGTCATTTCTTACCTTCCTACTCCTTCTTCTTCCGAAATATGAAGGAAACTCGCCATGATAGATGGTCACCCATCCACAGACCAAACTCGGCAAGGGTTGCTTAACCTTGGCGATTGATAACTACAATCTTCTCTACTACCCTATGCTATTTATTTATTTATTTATTTATTTATTTATAATTACAACAATATAGACTAACAGTATTATATCTACCAAATCGTCTACATGTCACAAAATACACAATTAAAATATTACATCATAACTAAAATTAGGAACAATAATAAGATTAAATACAGTTCAATATTTAAGTAATAAAATAATAAAAAATCAACCAAACAATAAAAACCGACAAACAATTCAAAAACAACCTATTCACTTTAAAATTAAGTGTTTAGAGTCATTGAGACAAGTCAAAATGTATCCGGACACTGCACTAACACCATCGAAAAAAAGATCTGCATCAGGATTGCTTTGTAAAAGATCATTGATCATAGCAATCGCCCGGTCCGTTGGACAGTTACCAGCATGGGGAGACCGCCAGCTCGGCGGACAAGCAAGCAGTCGGTGACGCCGCCTTCCAGTACCACGCAAATATCGATCGGGGACATAAAAATAAATATTGTCACGCACCGATGGATTATCTATCTTCCCAATTATCAAATAGTAGTAGTGCAAAATGTGTACATATTTTCGCCTCAGTTCCAATGTGTCCAGGCCTACCATACCAGAAACAAACATTGATGGGTATAAAAATGGATAATATCCATATTCACGTTTGTATAGGAACCGTGCAAACTTACGCTGGATTTTTTCAACCATAAGGGTATATAACTTTTCATGTGGACTCCAAATAATTGAGTTATATTCTAATTTACTACGTACATATGCATTGTAGAGAAGCTTAATGGTCTTAAGGTTCCTAAAATTTGAGGACATTCTTATTATAAAACCTAGAGCTTTGCTAGCGTCTTTGCATACTTTAATTATGTGCTCGTGGAAATTCAGTTTAGCGTCCAATGTAATGCCCAGATCACGTATAGATGCAACTCGCTCGAGAGGTGTACCTGCTAATTTATATGATATTGAGACAGGGGATCTAGAACGAGTGAATGTGATCGATTTACATTTGGTGACATTAAATGATAATTTATTACCTTCGCTCCATCTAACAACTGCATCAATATCTCTCTGCAATTGCACACAGTCATTAATATCAGAGATAGAGCGAAATAACTTTAGATCGTCAGCAAACATAAGGCATTCAGTTTTAGACAAGACACTGGGTAAATCATTGATCATGATTAGAAACTGCGTAGGTCCCAGTGTACTACCTTGGCTTACTCCCGACCTTGTGTAGTATTCTTGTGACCGAAAATCACCTATTTTCACGTACTGTTTCCGGTCCCTGAGATAATCTGCCATGAATCTCAGAAGTTCCGCCGAGAAGCCTACAGACGCAAACTTAGTTAGAAGGATATCGTTGTCCACTAAATCGAAAGCTTTGGAGAAATCAAAATACGCGGCGTCAACTTGACCACCAGCTATCATTTTATTAGTAGCATAGTCTAAGAATTTTGTGTGATTAGTGAGTGTGGAACGAGCTCGTCGGAAACCATGTTGGCTATCATGAAGAAGTCCCGACAGCTGATTGGTTAAAGAATGATTGACTATAGATTCAAACAACTTTGCAAGCACTGATAGAACTGCAATAGGTCTGAAAGTAGTGACTTCCATCGACGATCCAGTTTTGGGAACGGGCGTTACCCTTGAAACTTTCCATCTATTAGGATAGATACAACTTTGCAGAGAGAGATTGTATAAGTGGAGGAGAGGAGATTCAAAACTGATTAAACAGTCCTTTATCAGAAAGACAGGTATATTATCTGGACCATACGCGGATGATGCCTTAAGCCTACGAACAGCTCGTCTCAAGTCTACAACATTAATATTATTAATAGTTATGTTAGATACCGAACCACAATCCATTGCATCTCGCATAGCTGCTTCTGGACTCAGTGATGGAATACGGTTATGAAAAACTGAGCCAAAGTATTGTGCAAATGCATCAACAGCATCTTGGCCTACGACAACCTGGTTATTATAAACAAATTCCTTACCCTGTTGTCTCTTTGCCCGCTTGTCTTTTACATACTGCCAGAACGAGGACGGATTTGCAGTTATATTATTTTCCACAGTGCTTATATATTTCTTGTATGCTTCATTAATAAGTCGTTTTACTTTACTTCTATAATATTTAAATAATTCCATATTAAATTGTAAATTACGGATTTTAAACATTTTTAAATTATAATGTTTTAATTGAATATAATGTATTATTTCACCAGTATACCAAACCGGATATACATATTTATTCATATTAACATTTCTTTTTCGGGGGACATGTTTATCAATGAGATTGTTTAATTTATCATAAAATCTATCTACTGCTGTGTTTAGGTCTCTTTCTTGTAGGACTTCTGTCCAGTCTAGACTCGCTATGTTAGAGTACAAGCATTGGAAATCTGCTTTGCGAAAATTCCATTCAATACTTGCGCTATGTACTCGTTTTTTAGACGTTGGTTTTGTCACCGTCTGCTTTAATGGGGGAAGCGAGATAAATATTTCTAAAGGAGGGTGATAACTGTCAACAGGTACCAGGGGCTCAGTATTAGATATTACATTCACATGTTGTAAGTTTACGGTAGTCAGAACAAAGTCCAGTATGCAGTCAAATTTGTTGCGTACATTGTTACATTGACGTAATTTACAGTAATCAAGAAATACATCAAACTGCATCTTTACAGAGTTACTACATGATTTTAAGTTGAAATCTCCGACAATTAAAAAATCGTAGTTTGAATATGCACTAACAGCATTCTCTATACAATTTAGGACACTCAAATATTGCTTAGAATTATAATTAGGAGGCAAATACACAACAATAATGAATATTTTGACATTTTTCCGCGTAACTA